TTATGGCGACAGAGGGACAAAATATAACCCGAGAAAGACTGCAGATGAGGATCAGGAAGGAAACCATCCAACTGACAAAACCCTGTTGAAATGGGAGGAAAAGGAAGTTTACAAGATGAAAATATAATTAAACAAACCCTTACTGCCCCTTTTCCCAGCATTGTATTTTTAAAAGTGTGCATTTGGTAAGAAGCGAACACAGCACTGCTGTGCATTTATGTTCAAATGTTGTTATTTTTAAGCATTTGAACAAGTGCAAGAGGGAGGATCTGCAGAAGACTTTAGGAACACGACTGCAGAAAGGAGTGAAAACATGCAGCAAAGAGCACTGAGGTGATGAGAGATCGTACTTATAAGCATGAGCTTTGGTTATAATGTAATTCAGGACAAAGGCGTTTAGAGTGGGAGAAGAGAGAGCGACTCACGGCGCATGCACATCAGAGAGTCGGGGAAGGGAGGGGTGTGAAAGCCCTGTGTTGCTCCACTAACCCACTTACCATAATCTACCTCTTCTCCTCATTTCATAACTGCGCCCGAGTTATGTGATACACCCGTCATCGTACCTCGCCAATCAATTATTTTCATCTGCACTGTTATAATGGATTTTTGTTTTTGTCAGTGTGTCCCTGCTTTCTTTGTCTTGATTGCAAAGGGAAGCGGCACAAATGAAAATCTGGCCAGTGAACTCTGCAAGCATCCAAACATGTTACGTCCATACATTTTGCATTATGCATTAAGCATGTTTACTTTTGCATCAGAACATCTGAAAATATTGTTTTAAAATATAACACACAATTATGTTTAATCATTGCATTCATCTTTGGGTTAAAAATTGTTCACCCTCGCTGATTTAGTTAAAAATTTGCCAAACAAGCAACCTGGTCACACTTAATTAATGTTTGTTAGGCCGGTGATTTGCCAAAGGGGAACTGAGGACACAAAAGCTTCTTTCATAATAGATATGGCTAATTTATTCACAAAAGTAAGCCAATGAATCCTATATTATGTCTTATGAAATCTATTCTACAGCTTTGGTATTCACTAACAAACAAACAACAAATATAAAAAAATATATTAAAGCAAACATTATGTTTTCATCTTGCAAATTGTAAAGGTTTTTATAGTGTATGAGTTGTAGGCGTATTTAAAAAAATGCAATCCAAGAATGTGTTGCCTGCAATGAGGTCGCCATAGATCATTCTTATTTATATATAATTTTAATTGTCGCATAGTTCTTTTTTAATACGGTTTTTGGGGGAGTGGAGGAAAGTACCCGGGAATCTAAACGGCCCGGTTGTTATTAAACAATTCCCATGCTGGCAGACGCTCGGGCCGAATAAGTGACACACTGCCACACTTTCCCACGCACGCGTGAACGTCGATCCTCGAAGCGCGCGGGTGGGCGGCGCGCACGCGCACGCGTCAGATCACGGGGCACGAGGCGGGCGGGCCGCGGGTTTGGGGATCAGGTGTAGTCCACGCGCTGCCGAGAGCAGGTTACAGTCACCGAGCCGCAGAGCAGCACGCAGCCACGCGACGACCCGTGTGCGTGTTTTTGGTTGGGTTTTTTGTTGTTGTTGTTGTGCATCACAACAGTTCGTCCGAGACCGCGCGGGGCAACGACATAACGACGCACGACATACGACATAACGACGCTCCACGCGCCGGTGCCCTGCTTTGTTTTACGGAATTCAGAGGATTCGCTGCAGCGAATAAGTGCGCGTGGCTCCCCGCGTCGCTTCCAGCCGGAGGCGCATGACTCCAAGAGATGGTCAGACTCCTCCGCCGACATGAGAGGTGAGTTGGTCGAACGTTGCACTTAGTTTTGAATGCCCTTTGTTGGGGGATTTAAGGAGTGGACACGTCCGGTGTTCTTAAATAACTTTGGGTTGCGGGGGGGCGGTTGAGCGCGTTGGAGGCAGCGCGCGCCGTGAGAAGGTCCCAAGTGCGTAGGCTGCAGCTCTGCACCGGCAGGGAGACACCGAGACACACTCCGCGGGGGCAAATAAAAGAACCGCGTGTGTGGGGTCGGCCGGTCAAACTGCCCCCTTAAGGACCTTGAGCATTTGTCAATAAAACGGCCTGAGCGTATTACGCACCTTTTAAAAGTGTTTATTTGAGTCGCATCGCAGCAAAATATAATATAGTTTATTCCTATAAACTCTGACGCTGTTTTGCCCCCCGATGAAGGGAATGCGTCGTTGCGTTGAATTACTTCGTTTCACCGGTGACTCCAGTTACGTAAGAGAGCGGATCAGGCAGGGAGAGGGGGGGATTAGGTGGGAGGAGGGGGGAGAGGGAAGCGGGGTAGCGGAGTGGTTCTGATGCTGTCACCGCGAGAGTTTGTTTACGGTCCCCCTTTTCTTAGGGTTTCCTTTATGCTTTACTCTGACCAGGGCCAACCATTAGTTTGACCAATTTTTCAATCTCTCTATTTATTTTTAGTGCACTAGATTTTTTTACCTCAAAAAGCTGAGTTGAACTGTGGTGTAATACAATAGTTATAATTCATGAGACGACTGCTTTTGTTTTTCAACGTCAGCAGTATGGCGGCGAGGTGCTCCATTGACCTAGTTCTGTCATTGAGGATTACAAGTGTGTGTGTGTGTGTGTGTGTGTGTGTGTGTGTGTGTATGTGTGTGTGTGTGTGTGTGTGTGTGTGTTAGTGTGGTGGTGGAGGGCCAATGTTTGTCGTCCTTATTAAAAATGTCGTTTCAGTCGTAATCAGTGATGACAGAATGTTCCTCTTTAGAATATTGTAAATACAAACTGCAATCTCTGAACACAAGATGCCTGCTGCGTTTTTATTCCAAACCATATTTTTCGCGTGACATCCTTTTTATAAAGATTCCACGTGTGAAATTCAGAAAAGGCGCCATCTCGCCACGTGTTTTGAACTAACGCCGGTGGAACAGGTTGCGATGGTGAAGCCATGCACCGCTGCGACAAGCCGGATACTGGCACAGCGAGTCTTTGAGAGCCATGACGCACAGCGGGATCCGGTGCAGCTCGCTTCCCTCTGCCGGCTAATGTTACTTACATCCACCCGAGCACGCGTCACTCTCCGGTCGGGCGTTTTCAGCTCTTCAATCTCATCGGTGGACTGATGTTGTGCAGAGGTTGCGCGAGCCGTGTAAGACAGGCAGCAGTATCAGTATCTTAGGTCATTTTGATCAGGCCCCGCTTACTACCTCCTATCTGTGTTCCAAGTGTGCATGCAAGGGGAGTTTTATCCAAGGCATCTGTTTGCACATTTGTTGCTGCGGTTTGGACCCGCATGCAGAGGTGCATTAACAGCCCCATTAAGTGAATGCACGTTGTCTTCTTGTGTCGATGGGAGGGGATTGCAGAGGCCCAGCGTGTGAAGACTGGTTTCTTCGCTGGTTTCTCAGCATTCTTGTCCTGCAAGAAAAGTGGGAAAGGGTATGTAGGACTTTCCTTTCATGTGCTTGCAGCAAAACAAAGTGGCACACTGGTTGGATCAACCAGGATTGGAAGTTGGAAATAAAATGAAAACCTGCAGTGCCATTTTTAAAGAGTTCTTAGTTAGCGTGAGGGGGGGGGGGTTAAACTTCCACTAGGTGAATGGTTGAGGAAGGAAAGAATAGCTGTCCTCACTGTTCATTTATAGTAACTAAATAGAAAAAACACACAGTTTGGGCCCTGGATTGAGTGTGCAGTAACTTATATATTTCACAATACCCCTTATCTGCTGTTCATTCCATGGAGGCCCCAGAAGCCCCTCAGAATATAGGCGCGGTATGCAGCATGTCGTGTAAATGCTAAGTGCAAGGTAAACAGGACCTTGAACCCTGTTTGATTTGCTGGATGCGCGAGCAAAGTCTGCAGGTTAAAACCAGCGGCGATGGAGGAAAAAAAGCGCTCGCACACAAAAAGGCTTTTTTAAGATTGATTTTCACGGCTAAAGTGTCGCCACCATGTTGCAATAGGCTTCTACGTGATGGTATGACAATTACCGACGGGAGGGGATTTCCAACTCGCGTAGCAGGAACTGCACAAGGAAGCGTTCAATTACTGCTTTGTCATTTAATTATACACTGGGTGTTGTTCAAGCTCCACCAAAGATGTTGCTTTAAAGTCCAGCGCATTTAAACACACAACACAGCCGCTCTTAGGAACCAATGACGTTCTCCAAACAAGCTGCGATGAGAGAGGCCGCATCTCTCGACATGCCACGTGACGCACGGTGGCAGCAGATTAGTTGTGGAGACCCCTTTAATAATCTGCACGCTGTTATTTACTCGAAACAGTGTAGACGTCTGCGACGCGTTGTGATTAGTGCGATATTTATTTGCAAATAGACCAGAGCGGCAGAAGGAATCTGCGGGCGGCCAACTGCACCGGAGTAAAAATAGATTTGCGGTCCAGCTCAAACACAGCTGAAATTTCACTCAAATACTTGACATGCTGCAACAAGTTAAGAGCCGCTTATAGCCATGTTAGTTGCCCCTGCTGTGGCCTAATGTACGAGATGTTTCCACAAATGTTTCCAGATGTTGCTACGGTCGTAAAAGGAGGCAGTTTCAACCCCGTCCGCTCGGGAGTGATCATCCGGTAAATCAAGCCTCACATTCTCTTCCCTCCAAACCAAAAGACGACTTAAAGCAACACTCAAGATTTGTTTTCCGCCTTTGAAACCTGCTAGAAACCAGATTGTTTTCCTTGCGGGCCCCGCCCCCTCTATCTGCTAAATGAGAAACTGTGTCAGTGGAGCAGCTCTCGCTCGGTGACGGTCGATGGCTGACAGGTGAGTCACCGGGCAAAGCTGACCCCACAGCCAATGGCGGCGCGGGAGAGGGAGGGAGGATCGTTGCCCTGTTGCCAAGGCAACCACCTCTGGATGAGCGTGTCTGTGGAATCCAGCCAGACGGGCAGTTACATAACAGGCCGAAGCGGAATGACGAGGCGGGGGGGCTGCGCTCCCCTTCTGGAGCGCATAAATAAAGGCAATTTTTTCCATTGCCTTTATTTATTTATATCCCTCAGCTGGCCGGGAGGAAACACTCAAAGATGACTCGTGCACTCTACTCTTAAGTCTTTGTGGAGGGAAAACGTTGAAAGATTTTTCCTTCCCTGGTTATGTGATTGGTTTGCTTGTGAGTGGTTTATCAAAGGGCCGTCAAAAAAAAACGGCATTTTCTTTGGAGCGCTGCTGATGGCCGGTTAAAGCCATCGCCGCGACTTACGGGTTACCTAACGCCCCTTGTGACCCGGCAAAAGTGGTTTAGGGATTGTTTACCACACCCCGACATGCACGGTGCCCGAAATCCGATTTTGCACACGGCCCGCACAGTCGAAAGCACACTCACACTCGTGGTTTTGAGGGTTGCGATCTTTGCGCAGCGGTAATCCTTCTTCTCACAGCATACCTGTTAACATGTTGGGTGACGCGGAGAGAGCCGTGAAACTTTATAACCCCGGGCCTCAGCTAATGCAATTGACCCTGCTATTCTGGGCCCGAGGAGGCCCGGCTACTTACATAAACAACGTAATGAAAAGAACAGGCCGTTCCCGAGTAAGGAGGCGTCAGGCCTCCACGATGCATTCAAGGTGCACAATGTAAACTCACGTCAATCTCATCATCTTGACAATTCCAGTTTCTTGACAATCCGGCGACATTGGCGACATTTCAAAGCTTGCGTCGGACAGACGACAGAGAACTGGACGTCTTGTGAGAAAAAGTTTAACATGCATAGCTGCTGCTCGTCTTGTTTGAGTTTTAAAAACATGGTTGTCTAGAGTAAATATTGATTTATCACAGGCTGCCCGCTTATTGTGATGTGACTGAGGTGTTATATATGTTATATTGACAATAACTGGCCTCGTCATGATACGCCTAAAAAGAAAATATTGAATGTTCCAGTTACTTCTCTATAGTGCAACTGTGACCAAGCGACATTGTTATTTTACTGCGGGCTGGTTTATGAAGATGCAAATTCACCCAGGTAACCCGATTAACTACCTTCTACGCTTTGAGGCCTGTGACTTATTTCACTGATTCATCATTTTTCTCTTTCCTCTCTCGTTCTTCTCTCTGCAGCTCAAATAGAAGTGATTCCCTGTAAAATCTGTGGGGACAAATCCTCAGGGATTCACTATGGTGTCATCACCTGTGAAGGCTGCAAGGTGAGGAATCTTCCATCGCCCTCGCCGGTTCTCACTCGCAGTGCTGAAAGTGGCATCTTGCAGTATTTTGCTCGTGATTCATTCTGTGCGTGTATTCTTTTGGTCCGAAGGGCTTCTTCCGGCGCAGCCAGCAGAACAACGCCACGTATTCCTGCTCACGACAGAGGAACTGTTTAATCGACCGGACCAACCGTAACCGCTGCCAACACTGCAGGCTGCAGAAGTGCCTCGCACTGGGCATGAGCCGCGACGGTGAGTCCAGCTCCTCCATCTGTACTTACTTAACTCACTCGTCGCCGTCGCCATGAACGCCGCCCCGCCTCCCCCGATCTTGACTTCTTCTTTTTCTTTCCGGCCCCTCGTTGCAGCGGTCAAGTTCGGCCGCATGTCCAAGAAGCAGCGCGACAGCCTGTACGCAGAGGTCCAGAAGCACCAGCAGTCCCAGGAGTGCACGGGGCTGCTCGGCGTCTGCGAGCGAGGGGACGGCGACGCGCCCGACCACGGCCGCGCCTGCCGGAGAAGCTCCACTGCCGCGCCGTTCGGCGACCCGGACGACATCAGCATGCTGCCCGAGGGCCTTCTGTTCGACCTGCCGCTGACCCTCGAGGACGCGGCCGAGGACTACTGCCGCCTGGACGTGCCGGGCGGCAGTGCGGGCAGCACCTCGTCGTCTCAGAGCTCGCCGGAGCAGACCCACTTGGACTTTGTGGACGGCAACATCGGCATCAAGCACGAGTACCAGCTGCTGCACGACTCCGGGCTCTTCTCGCACGCCATCCTCAACCCGCTGCCCGAGGGCTGCACCCTGCTGGAGATAGGTCAGTATGGCTGCCCGGCTGCTGCTGTGTGTGTGTGTGTGTGTGTGTGTGTGTGTGTGTGGTTTAAAACGGCATTATTCTGATGGAAGAAACTTTCTCTCCCCCGTTCAGAGCACATAACTCAGAGTGTGCTGAAGTCCCACTTTGAGACGAGCCGGTACAGCACAGAGGAGCTGAACAGAATGGCGTGGACCTCCGACAGCCCGGAGGAGACACGCGCATACCAGACCAAGGTACATATCACCCCAGCAAATGACGTTTAGCACGACAACAACTGCAGTGTAAATACCAAGTCACACGTCAGACGTTATCACGAGGGATGTAATCCGTAAAACGTAAGTGTACTAAAGCAAAAAGAGGAGTTCCCTTGGAGTAAATCAGAACCTCCCCGTCTGGGCTTTTTGGCTCAGTGATCAAGGCTGTAGAACACGGCCGTAAAGCAAAGGGAGTAAATGTTTTCCAACATACGGCGGGTCAGGGCGTCTTCAGGGGGAAACCTAGTCCTAGATACGCACCGCAGACGACAAGCGAATACAACTTGAATCCCGATTCTCATCAAAGCCCCTCTGTCTCCGGCCTTCTCCCTTCAGTCAGCTGAGGCGATGTGGCAACAATGCGCCATTCAAATCACCAACGCCATCCAGTACGTGGTGGAGTTTGCCAAGCGCATCTACGGCTTCATGGACCTCTGTCAGAACGATCAGATCATCCTCCTCAAAGCAGGTCAGTGCACGGCACGCCGTGGGGTCGGCGTCCGCTCGGTGCTCCGCGTTCACAGTCGTGTCCGCCGCGCAACACAGCCAGACCGCTGTGGGCATGGCGGTGCGTGTCGACTTTGCAAACATCGCGCTGTGACAAAGGCGGCTGTTGTCGTGAGAACGGTGCATTGACCTCATATTTCGCGGAGGTAAAACATCCCACGCGAGCATTGAGCATCGTGGAGCAGGCGCTTCTGTAGAATGGCTCACCTGTGTGATACTTTAGGTGTGAAGAGGATGTAAAGAGGATTCCGCGACGGCCAAAACCAACAAATCACTCCTAACAATAGATTAATTGCTTCCACGGTATTGTTTATGCGTCCACACCCATACAGGACCGTAAACTACAAATTATAGCTGTCACAATTAATTATAGCTGTAACCATTAATTAAATCTAATCAGGTTACCAGTAAAGAATGCTTTAATTAATGTGACCATGACAGAGTAGTTTCAACCTCCATTTTTTTCATTTTTTTTTAAAGACGTCAGCTATTGTATAACAGTTTTAAAGAAGCACCCACTGGTAAAGTGAGAGAAGTTAACTTAACTTAAGTTTTCTTGACTGAGTGTGTCATATTGTTCTCTCAATGACTACATTATCCAGCACAAAACCAGAACTTTAATGCACAATTTCAAATACTTAAACACGTACACACCACTAATTGTATTCTTCTTTTGTTTGCGTGTGGTCCACAGGCTGCTTGGATGTTCTTCTGATCCGGATGTGTCGGGCCTATAACCCCATCAACAACACGATGCTCTTTGACGGAAAGTTTACAGCCGCTCATCTTTTCAGAGCACTTGGTGAGTGGACTCACTGTCAAAATCAACTCTTTTTCCATGTGCCGCATCTGTGTCAAAATCGTCCGGAAGGTTCTGTTTCGATAACAAAGTGATGGTTCTCCCTCCGTCCAGGCTGTGACGACCTGGTGAGCGCGGTCTTTGACCTGGGTAAAAGCCTGAGCTGTGTACAAATGTCCGAGGAAGAGATGGCCCTCTTCAGCGCTGCAGTTCTGCTCTCGCCAGGTGAGATTATATGTCTTTAATTATATATATATATATATATATATATATTTCTGCTCATTGCCGTGTTTACAACCCTACCAAACATGGTGGAATCAAGACTCCCCCCGTCATTAAGGTCATTTGATTCAATAAAATCTCTTGGCTTGTTATGGAACTACCTAAAGTCGCTGCACAAGTTTAGTTACTGACGACAACGCGCTACAAAAATAAAGCTAATTATAATTGATTACAGGTCATTAACATAACACAAACCTGTTCCCCGCCTCAGCCTGAGCATCTTTTCCAAAGAAACTACCGCTGTCACAGATTGGAATGCATTTTAAATTTCATTCCACACTTAACGTCCGTAGTGCTGCACCCGTGGAGACTACTTCAGTGCCGGCGGCAACAGATCTGACGAGCCTACAAACAATAGACAAGTCCTTATTTGATCTCACCTGTGTTTTTCCGCGCTGTCTTTTTTTTTGTTTCATTGACGTTACTGACAGTCGGGTTTTTTTCAAAACACTAATGAAACAATCTTGTCGCTCTGATTTCCCGCAGACCGAGCCTGGCTGACGGATGTTGAGAAGATACAGAAGTTGCAGGAGAAAGTGTACGTGGCGTTGCAGTTCTGCCTACAAAAGGAGGGAGGAGCCGAGGAGAAACTGGCCAAGGTACGAACCCTGCTGCTGCCAGTTTGCTGACGTGACGCTTTTTGCTCGGTTACCAAATTAGTTGGTATTAATTCCTTTTTTTCTAACTTGTTCTGCTCCCCTTTGCTGTCTTCCCAGATGGTGTCTAAGCTTCCCATCATGAAGTCCATTTGCGACCTTCACTTTGAGAAACTGGAGTTTTTCCGCATGCTGCACCCTGAAACCGCCTACACCTTCCCTCCTCTTTACAGGGAAGTGTTCAGCAGTGAAATCACCTTCCCCGACTCCACCCAGGGCTAGAACCACCTGGCCCACGGAGAGGGATTCAAATTGAGACATTGAGGTGTCGGGAAGGGGGGAGGTGGAAAAAATGTGGCAACCAAGCTGAGGCCAAAACCAACCAGCAGCTCGACGACAATCCTCCACGCTTACACTTTAGGACAACACTCCTCCCACCCGTGAGCGCCCGACCCCGTGGAGGAGCTCCCACTGCCCTGCAGGCCCTGGCCGTTCGGCGTCAGCGGGACGCCACGGGAACTGCAGCCGCCCCGCGCTGTGCATGTCACCTCTTTCTCTAGGGACTTATTGACGAGTAGCCTACGTCGTTTTTTTTTCTTTGAGACGACCGTAAAACTTCTCTCGTAAAGATAGGATTTTGACCTTGGCCATTCTCGGAGTTCCCGTGAGCTCCGCGTTGAATGTATCTCCTTCTCCCTTCACCGTTTCAGCACAGCTCAAGGCTCGAAGTAGAATGTACATGCTTAAAATTGTGGAGGTTTGCAGTATTTACGCCTGTTTCAGTTCTCCCGCTTATTCTTTCATCCGACGTTTTTTGGTAGCGCCCCATACTTTGCAGTTTTGTAATGAAACGAACAAACTGTTTAAAGGGACCATGATCAAACTCACAAAGAGGCGGGTTGGTAACCGGTGTGAATCGAGTGTCTGCCACCGTGCACACACAGAACAAAACAAAGCACTTAAATTATCTTTGTAGGTATTTGTAACAGCACACCCACCGACACTGATGGAAGAGAGCTCGCTATTTTTTTTTTTTTTTTGCCACCTGTAGAGTGAGCGAATCACAGAGGTATTTTGAAAGTATTTTCAGATGCTCCTTTTATACATAATATAAACAATTACACCAATTTAATCATGCAAGATAAGAGCATTGGAGGGTGATGTGCTCGTGCTCAGGTCTCTCAAACAGACACCGCCTGCCCAAACCTTTGCGGTCCGGGGTGGTGAGGGGAAAAAAAAGACTTGAATGGATAATTATGGCACTTTTGAGTCCTTGTTAGATTCCAACATAAACTCTTGCCACATGTTTTTTTTTTCTTTTTACGGTTTATGCCATCTGTGAAGCTCGTATGAAACCCAGTCCAAAATGCCAGCTTACTTGGGTAGAGATACATCTGAGAGTGCGTGCAGATGACACCTTTTAGGTAGGGGGGGGGGACATACGGGACTTTTGTCCTAGAGAAACTACTAAAAGAGAATAGCTTTTAAAAAACAATCGCACAGGAGACGTCGCATGTCTAGCTTTGTTTAATATGTCCGCCTGGTTGGCTTCGCACTGCTGGGACGGTGCCGTTCGGCCTTACTTGACCTCACACAGCTTGAAAGTGGGTATTACCCTTCTCTGGGTACGTGTGAAACAGCGGCGTGGTGGGATTGTGCAATAGCGTCTTTCCCGCTGGTGATCTCACTCCAGCGTCGTTAACCTCGCGGCGCGACAAACAACCTTGTTTTAAAATATAACGTACCAAATACTCCGCCAGCCGCTACACGGGTCAGCACTCAGCTGACGCGACCCTCAGAGGACACATACAGATTGTAACAAAGTGCACTACTCTGTGTGTGCAGAATGTGAGACATGCTGCTTTGAAAGGACTCAGTGTAGTCTGTTGCATGCCTAAAAGCTGCCCGGAGGGGAGAGACGGGGGGGCAGATCTGCACTCACATTTCCCGGGTTACTCAGGGTGATAGCTTGGCTCTCTGTCCCACAGTGTCTGCAGTTAGTCGAGCTAGCGACACCTTGCACCAACGTAGAAGACCTTAAAACCTTGATCACTGTGTCCAGTACATGTTCTTGTGAATGTTTTATTTCAAAGAATCAAAGATTTTACCCCCGGCCACTGTCATTAGTGCAAGAATATTTTTTTGAGTTCGAGCCATAGATATATAGTTATAGTTATAAATATATATGGTGGGTTATTATCTCTGAATCATGTGTTGGTTTTGTTGTGATCTTTTGTTTCGGAATTTTTATCCCTATGTGTTACCTTTTCTCATCAGTTTAGGGTCCTTTTTGTCTTGGAGAGATGTAATTCTATTTTTTTAATGACCGTTTTTAAAGATGTCACCCTAAAAGTTATCTTTTGTCATGATCCTTCTGTTTATATGTTCACAATATTTTAAGATTATGGTTATTAAATCAATATAGATTTTAATAAGGAAGCATTTATGACATGCTATGGATATACAGCCTAAGAGTTTTTAACACAATAATGTGTTCTTGCACAACGGTGATACAAAATGTGGATTTAAGAATGTAATAAAAGTCTTTTTATAATTAAAATAAAAACTTGTTGCTTCACTTAATGTCTCATGAAACTGATTGCACCCAAAATACGCTGCATGGATGAACCATTTTATTTTGCAAAACAATGTGAAATTATACATTTATCACGGTTTTATTAGATACCGATTGCTTTTATTTTGGTCGTGTAATACCTACAGACAAAAACGCATCTTAATTTGCCACTTAAAGACACTGGAAGAAAACACTTTCTGATTAAGTCACTTGGATGGCTATACCAAACACATAAAAGCAGAGTGAAGGACGCCTGTACTGCATTATCACCACCATGTGGTAGATAACAGCCGTTCAGTCACAGTTTGTTTGTATTCTCGATTCACAACCCAATGCCTTTTATGGAAGTTTTTTTGAACGAGTTGCATTTTTATTTTCTGCCCTTAGCTAATAAGCAATGTTTCAACCCGTGACATATAACAATCTGATCTAATTCAGAACACCCTACGCTCTTCATTCGTGTCTTTAGATGGACTCCAGCTACAGTACCCGAGGATGTGAACATCTGGCCTGCAGTTCCCGTGTGTACCCGCTTGCCCCCAGCAGGGGGCGCTGCGCACCAGCACACCGCCCGAGTAGGCGTCCGCTCTCTCTGGGAAACTGATTTCCTCCTCAAGTGGCTGCTGCGGATTTCGTGCACTGTGAGAAGAAAAAAATCGGGAGATCATATTTTTTTTGGAGGGGGGTAGTTTTTAAACACACGTCGCGCCGTTGTCCGCCGTGTTAGTGGGAACAATCAGCCTCGACGTGGACGTGTCCCGACTCGGAGTGACGGCTGTGCGGTCCTATGATTCCTCCTAGACATTTATTTCGGGCTGGTCCTTTTTTTTCTCAAAAACTTACTACACCGTTAACTTTTAGTTAAATCGCAAACCGACTTTTTGCAATTTGTTGGAACGCCGAAGACAACCGGGGGGGTTCCAAGATGTCGGTAGCGGGCTTCAAGAAGCAGTTTTATAAAGCCAGCCAGGTTTGCAAAACTTTTTCTTTTAAGCTAGCAACTGTCACGTAAGAAGCTAGCATCATTTAGCAACATTAGCTAGCGTGTTTACGGTCGGCTATTTTTTTTTTTTAATTAGCGGGCTAACTGTGCGGTGACATCAGGAAGCTAACGTTAAAAAACACTCCGTGTCAGTGTGTGCAATGCCACGTTAGCTTTTAGTTTGACACTTGTGTGTGTTCGGCTAGCGTTAATAAAGTGGATGAGCGCCTCTGGGACATGTTTTGTCACTTAACGCTAGCTCGACTGACGTGCACCAAACGGCAGCTAATGCTAAAGAAGCTAACGTTAGCGCTGTTACGCTGCCCCGGCGGCTCACAGGCGTCTCACGTTGTTGTGTTTGCAAGCGACGCTACCCGGCATGTGCACCCAAATCATCTGGGTCATCGAGACATTTGAGCAAAAATATTTTAATCAAGTTTCATTCGGGTGGTGTAAGAATCTTCTTGTGTGTGCGGTGTCACCACAGACGATATTTTCTACTAAACTGTGTTCTGTGTCGGTCTTTTGTTTTAGAGAGACGGATCGAGTGGACACAATCACTGTCTTAAAAGTGTCCGACTGCTGATGTGAATGTCTCTCGTAGTCATGGGCAGGGAGGGTTAGAAATATTTATTTTTTTAGGGGGGTCGGCTCTTCCTACCCCTGCTGAGCTAAGCAGGAAAGACATTTGGTTTCTGCCCAGCTTCCTGTCAGGAACAGGCTCGGATCCCTGTGGGTTTTGGTGGGTTGGGTTTGGTGTGTGTGGGGGGGGAAATAGCTCGAAGCTGTCCTGTTTGGGAGTGCAGACACTGACCGTTATTAAAGCAAAAAGTTAAGGTGTTCGAGGAGAGATGCAACAGAATGCTGCATAGGAAAGTGAGCCAAGGAATGGTGCAAATCATTTCCCTTTTATTTATTTGCAGCCTTTTCTGGCCCGAACTCAATGAGAGTCAATAAGATTTTGGCACGCAGGAAGTTGGCTGTGGAAACGGTATCTGTGTCGAGCAGCTCACACATCCTTGTTTTTCTCTGGCTGTCCTACTACCCCCCCCCCCCATTATTAATCTATCTACGAAATGCTTATAGACCTGAATTGTTGCAGGTGGTTGGAGCGCAAACGACATGACGCACACACGTTTTATGTGTATCGGGGGAAGATTGTAGGTCTAATCAAGATCAGAATTATAATTCGCTTATAGCCGTTCATAGCAACAAGATTTCCTCTTTGAATCTGGTCCCCTTCAACTGTGCGGTTGCAGAGCTCCCTTTTGAATGTTGTATTTTTACCACAACATCCAGACGACATCTGTTGTGTGGATGTTTTTGGACTGTACACATTTTGAGCCTGTGTGCGTGTAAACATTAATGTCACGTTGAAACGGGTTGTGTTTTCATTAACAGAAGAAAAAAAGAAACATTACTTAGGTGACAAAGAAGACAAAAGACTCTTGAGTCTAGCGGCTTAAAGTCTTTTAAAGCGGACAAAGATAAAGCGGCACAAACGTAGGACTGCGGTCTTGACTGAGGTTGCTTAGTAGGCCGAGGGTTGCGGCTGTATTTTTACTTGTGACCTGAATCCCCCGCGGCCCCCCTGTCATGTGCTGTCTGCGTAGAGCAAAGATTCAGCAGTAAAGGCCCCTGACTGTTGAGATCAGGGGAAGCTCACCCATTGCTAAATCTGTTCAACTGAAGCTTCGTCAACTCCCCAGTTCACTCTGATCTCATGATATTCTTTAAACATGCATTTCCCTCCAGCATAGAAAGTCCTGATGATTCCAGTAATCACAAACTGCCGTTTGCGTCATGTAGGAAGTGACTCAAACTGCTGTTACTGTCTCAGACAAGGACATTTAAGTAAGGTGAAGACAATGAGGCCAAAGTTTCCACCAAATCATCGCGTATTATCGAATCTACGTGCCTTTTGTACTTTAGGTCAGGTCTCATTCATATTGTTTATATGAATATTCTACTTTGTGAAAGAAGTAACCTCACCTCAAAGTCTTCTGCAATCTGCTGTTATACAATTTTTAAATTCAACAAACTCAATCGTCTGTCCCATTTCCACGGCCGCCTCTCCGGTGTTTCATTAAGCGTGCAGGCATTTTTGAATCCTCCCGGTGGACGCACGATTAAACATTAACATCAGAGTTGTTTCAACCTCCCTCGAGGCTCAAGTGCACAACATCAAAACCGGCTAACTAGGTCTTGACGGGACAAATGTTTTGATCCAACAAAAGAGTCGTGGGGCACTTTGACTTAAATCGTGAAATCTGCATTGTGGTTTGCTTTGATATCTTACAAGTGACTGCAAGCAAAACAATGTTTCACTTGTGTTGATGGGGGGGGGGGTGTTTTCATGGCCATTCTGCTTGGGGAAACCGATATGGAACCACGCACGTAGTTCATGGACACAACAATCTAAACCAACCACTATGAATCTAAACAAGTCCTGCTCCACAGTTATAAGAATTGACCTAGAAGGACTTTCAGGAGTACTTGTACTGAGAAAAAGTGACTGTTTTCTGCCTGTGGCCTAAAAACAAGCTGAGGGATCTCCCTTATAAGTACATATGCCTTCAATCAACATGTTTTAGTCCACTGACTTAAGTTGCAGCCTGTTGTTTTTAAATGAAAGCAACTGCTCTAGCTGGTCCAACGTCTTCCTCGCCGTGCAGATGGTTTTATTGCATTTTCTACACAGAGCAGGCGTGTGATTGTGTATTGGAGAGATGCTTGCAAGAAATAGTTAGCTCTCTCTGTCTTTCCTCCCCCTTCTCTCCAGATGGTGAGTGAGAAAGTCGGCGGTGCTGAAGGAACGAAACTAGACGAGGACTTCAAAGACTTGGAGCGGGTAAGAGAGGCACCTTGGTTTGACCTTAAAAGAGCCGCATCTTCCTTCCAAAGCTGTCGTCCTCGTCGGTTTCACACACCGCAAACAAACCTACAGCCGTTTTGTCAAAACAAGAAATCAATGCAGGCGGTGTCGGGTTCAAATCGAGTTTGGAATAAATGAGCCACTTTGCCAACTCCTAACATGAATTGCCCTAAATAGGTTTATTACATTTTTCAAGCAAAAATGCCTAAATTTACGGTTTCCAGCTTCTCAAAAGGTTTTTCTTGCTGGATTTCTTGGTCTTCTGTTGGGCAGACAACAGGCGGTTCGTAGATGCCGCAAGACGCAGTTATAGACTAAACATTTACTTATTATTCCAAAAAATAAGTATTGGATTCTTTAAATCATCGTCGGCTGCAGACCTTGTTGACATTTTTTATTTTGTTCATTAAAAACATGACCAGATCTAAGATAAATACAAAATCTGAATACTAAACAAAGATAAACATATCATGTTCTGTATCCGACTATGACGCCTGTGACAGCAACGTATTTCACTGTGAGCAAACCGCTCATAATAAAAGGTCGAAAAGCATCCCTCCTCTGCTGCTCCCTGTTGTACTTCTGGCTTTGTGTTGCAGTAGCTCTGTTGTTGTACACTTGTCATGTGAGCTCGCTGTGTTTCGTAGAAAGTAGATGTGACCAGTAAAGCGGTAGTGGAGGTAATCTCCAAAACATCCGAATACCTTCAGCCCAACCCAGGTGAGAAGAGCGCCTTGCCTTTGCGTATTTGTTCACACGGCGGGAACTCCGTGACCCAAATGTACTCGCGCTCCCTCGTGCAGCCTCGCGGGCCAAGCTGTCCATGTTGAACACCATGTCGAAGATCCGCGGCCAGGTGAAGAACCCCGGCTACCCTCAGGCCGAGGGGCTGCTGGGCGAGTGCATGGGCAAGTATGGACGGGACCTCGGAGAGGAAACCAACTTTGGTAAGATTTCTATCTGTGTGTGTTGTTGTTTTAGACAATCAGTAAGTGGAATAGGAATGTTGTGTACATGTACACACGGTTGTCCTTGTGTTTGATAGACCCACACTGTTTTTAAAGAGCTTTTTTGCAGTGTTATATTTGTCCCTGTGTTCTGCTACTATGTGTTATCTGGCGATATGATTGTCTGGCACTGCGCTGTTGAAGAACCGTGTCACTGAGCTGCTCTGCTCGGTCTGTGCGGTCCAGGCGGAGCGCTGGTGGATGTCGGAGAGTCCATGAAGAGATTGGCGGAAGTCAAGGACTCCCTAGACATCGATGTGAAACAAAACTTCATCGATCCGTTGCAAGGGCTCTGCGACAAAGACCTCAGAGAGATACAGGTACGTTGACTTCCTCGTTCCTCCATACTAGCGCGTTTGAATTTAAGGCGCTAAACTATCTATGGCTCCTGCGGCCTCAGCATCATTTGAAGAAGCTGGAAGGCCGCCGCCTGGACTACGATTACAAGAAAAAGCGCCAGGGCAAGATCCCCGATGAGGAAGTCCGACAGGCGCTGGAGAAGTTTCATGAGTCAAAGGAAGTGGCCGAGACGAGCATGTACAACCTGCTGGAGACTGACGTGAGCAACTTATTTTTACTAATCATCTAGATGCAAAAGTCGGCAACGAACAGCTTCTGACTGTTGAAGTGAAAGCTGGCCGTAGTCAACGCTGCATTTTGTACACCTACCAACTCTGAATCCAATATTGATTTGATTTAAATCTATAAAGTGATTGGATCCGCTGCCATATCATGTTAACGTTTTGTCAGTTGAGCTTCCCCTTTTGTTGCTATTCAACACGCCCGCTGGACAAACACGGCAATCGTTCCGCCCACAGAGGTGTTCAAACGAACACTCCGATTGTTATAAAGATCGGAAAAAGTAGTTTGACAAAACAATCTTGAACCCTGGTAAACAACTTCACTGGCATGGAATCAGGTTCAGTGTTCAAGGAAAAGTGGAGTGGCATTTAAAATAAAACAAATGGATGCTAAATCATGATATCGCATCTCAAAGGTGCAGTACATGCCGGCATGCTTTTATGACCCAATTCTTGTTGTAATCCAGAATAATGAGCAGTTTATCCATTGGAATAAAAAATATGTGTGTGTGTGTGTGTGTAGATAGAGCAAGTGAGCCAGCTCTCCTCCCTGGTGGAGTCCCAGCTGCAGTACCACAGACAGGCGGTGCAGGTGCTGGAGGAGCTTTCTGACAAACTTAAAGACAGGTGCAGTGATGACAAACACCAACATACTGTTGAGGGCATCTGGGAGCGTTCGGCCTTCTGCTTAAAGCTGCTTGTGGTCTGGATCAAAAAATAAAACCGCCGTCAACCTGTCTTTATGAATAGGATGAATGATGCGCAGACCCGGCCGAGACGTGAATACACACCCAAACCCAAACCCATCTATGACTTCGGAGAAGACAACCAGTCGAATGGCGGCTACTCCACCTCAGCGGCTCCTCCCCCTTCACGCAACTCTGGTAAGAAACAGCCGCTGTGCCGAGCGTTGGTGAGGATCCACGTATCCTACTTCTACCGCGGACCTTTGAGTCAAATACATCTACTGGTCGGAATAATGAAGAGCAGCAGAGATGCTGTCGTGTCACACAAAGAGCGAAAGAAACTCAACTCCGAGGCACGGTTTTGTATTCAACGACGTCACTCCCAAAGGGGCAGCACGAGATTTGTGGAAAAGAGTTCCAGCAGTAAAGAAAAAACCCATCCAGCTGTTTTATATACACACACACACACAGAAGATGTACCGAGCCTAAGTAGCATGCCTGCATTGAACACATTCCTTAGAAGCCTGACGGAAACTAAACTCGAGATATAACTCTCCTCTTTGCCAGATTGATTGCTCAAGACCTGCAACCTATCAGAGACACTCGGCACAAAAATGTGAAACAAACTCTTTTTTTTTTCTGTCGTCTTATTGGGGCTCACTGAACGTTTGACTCACTTGGAAAATTCTGCATGTGGGGGGAGGGGGCAGAGTTGTGTGTGTGTGTGTGTGTGTGTGTGTGTGTGTGTGTCCTCTTGGCTGGCATTTCTCCAACTGACTGTGACCCTCTTTCCTGTGATGTCATCAGAGCCCTTTTTCCACTTTTTGTCCACATTGTCCTCCTTATCCGACATCGTGTCACTCACAGATTGTGGGGCTTTCTCTTTTTTTGGGAGGCGTCACAACTCTGTTGCGGTGGTTCATGTAGGAAGTGGGATACGAGTGGCTTCTCACAGGTGTGACACATAATTGGTGGTTCATGTAGCACGTATACTGTGATGTCATTGGTTTTGTAACAGATCAACATCCTGAACTATAAATTGTTTACACATTTCCAACCACCGACTCGGTCCATAATTGATTGAAGCTAACAAATCCTAAATGAACAGTAAGGATCTTGTTTATTCGAACTTTAACAAACCTCCAAATTAACCCTTTGATGGCTGAATCAATGGCCACATATAACATGTAAGACACAATTAAAATTAATTATTTGTATATTTGTAGTGGTTATTCAGTTTATATTTACGTCCGTGTTGTTGGTTTTTTTACAGTTTACTAGTACATTCCGCCTTAGGCTGTTTCTCTCTGTCTGCTCTTTTGTTCTGCACACCAGCTGTGCTCTACGTGCTCAGCACCAAACCGCACACTGAATGAATTAGGATTTGTCTCGTAACTACTTGCTTACAAGTAACCGTTTGTCCTGTATTTCAATCATTAAGACTGGTTATTGTAGGAAGGCCGTTATTTTTTGAAGCAACCTAATCAACATCATACGGGTCATATGGGTCACGTCGGCTCACCAGCCAATTACCAGAATTTGTCTATTTACCAAGAAAGTTGGTTCCTTCCAACTCGGTGGTTCGCATTGGTTTCTCTCTGCCGCTGTAAGTTGATACAGAGAGTGAGTGAGCCGAGCTCCCCCCCTCACCGTGTGCGGACCCCCACTCTCCTCTGCCGGAGGGAGGGCTGCATGGAGGCAGGAAATTGTCAGCACTCCAATGCCATGTTGAAGTTGATCTGACTGCGCCCCATGCTAATGCTATGCTAACACATACAAACAGTTAGAAGTACGGTTTACAGAAAAGCTACTTCTGGTGAGTAGCGGGACCGATTTTCATGAAAATGGTTCCGCTCGCTGTGTCAAGAGAGCAGCCTGGGTGTTATTTTGGGGTTGACTTAATGCTGCCATCTTCCTTTCTCTTTCTGCCCTGACTTCTTCTCAGCCCCGGAGCAGCCGTGCTGCAAGGCGCTTTACGACTTTGACCCGGAGAACGAGGGCGAGCTGGGCTTCCGCGAGGGCGACGTCATCACCCTGACCAATCAGATCGACGAGAACTGGTACGAGGGAATGCTGAACAGCCAGTCGGGGTTCTTCCCCCTCAACTACGTCGAGGTCCTCGTCCCGTTGCCACACTAATTCATGGAGAGAGCCGGGGAGGAGACTGATGAAGAGGAGGAGGAGGGAGGGAGGGAGAGAGAGCGTTAGTTAGGAGTGAGGGAGGAAAGCGAAGCCGAGTGCTGGTCCGCAGAATATTCATTTTCACCTTCAGCTCCGACGTCACCATCACAGTCGAGCACTTTTTGATCTGGAGAAGGTCCAGAGCAGCGCATCCACCCGTTTCCACCCAAAGGTAAAGAATCTCAGGTGGACACAGAGCGTCGTCACCCGTTATCTGGCAGTCAGAGACATTTCCTGAGGACTAACTGTTGACACATTTACAAGCAATAATTTCCCATCACTGAAATCATTAATGCTATTTTTGATGGACTCCGGGGTTGTGATGGTGGCGCCGCATTTCACATCATCCGTTTTGTGTGACTGCAGACTTCTTTTTACAACTCTGATCAGTCAACAGTCTGTTGTTTTCAAACTGAAGAGGCCTCCTCAAAGCTCTTCTGCGCGTGGAACACGACTGAATATTGATCTCATTTCAGGAGCCCCTTGAGGCCTGGAGCTCTTTATGCCACCTGCTGGCGAGACGGACCTGCTACTTTAACCTAAACTTAAACTACACACCACCAGGGATGTAGTTTAGTTAATTGCATCTAAAATACAAATACAGAAATGATGAAAAGAAATGATAGAGAAACGATGCAGAATTAGCCCCAGATGTAGACCATTTCCCGTTTTTGGCCTGTTAGTGATGCTTTTTTTAAAAAGGTCTATGTCTAAGCTGTGCTTTGCTCATAGCTTCACAAGGCCACAGTAATATAATAACATTTTAATAAATGTGTTATTACAACACAGGCCTGATATAGTGGTGTCTCAGTATTTGAGTTGCGTTCGTGTCAACCCACTACAGTAGTTTTTAAAGTGGAACTGAATACTGAATATGTGAGAAGACGATGTAATTGCACCTTGGTCCTCAAATGAGATTGATGCGTCCACCGTTACACGCAGACCCAAAGTTAAATGCAGACGTTGCACCGTTTTGTCACTCAAGGGAGGCGTGTGTTTGTTTAGAGATGCAGGAGGATTCGTTGTTTAGCGGTTGTCTGTTGGTCTGTTCGATAAGAGGAGACGGCCAAAAAGTCTTTTATAAAATGCAATAGAAACATTTCGCTTGGTGCGCCTGTTTGTTACACTAAGTATTCTGTGGCCATATATTCATTTAGTTTAAGGCCTGCTTGACTCGGCATGTTCAGCCTTTCCCTCTTGTCGGGTCCCTCGACGCGCGTCAGGCGCCTGTTAACTGGGTGCCCGATCGACGGGGGCTGCTGGTCAGTCCCTCGCAGTCGTCAATGTGTGTCCCGCTATTTCTGTCTTTTTGAGAATGTGAAGCTCCTCTGCGCTTTGAAACGTATTCTAACCCTGTGATGTTGATGATTCGCCGCGCCGCTGATGTGGTTTATTCGTCCGTACGTCGGGCTGTTCAGGTAACCCACGAAGACGAGGCCGGTTTCTCGTTGTGGCCGCAGCCCTCCGACGCGACGTACACTTTAAAGTATGAGGGAAAGACCTGGAGTGAAAGGGAAAACATCATGGTAAAGTAATTGTCATTTGTTTTTGGTGTCCACTTTTGTCATTGTCTTTTTTTTATTTTTTTTTTGCCAACACAAGAATCCTAACCAAACGCGTGTCGACGGTCCGGCTCATTTTGAATTGTCGGGGGAGGCAAAGGTTTTAGTCGTGAGTCGCAAATGTGTTCACTTTCTGCTAAACATCCCTTTTTGTTGTGCGTTTGTCCATCGATCCACGGTGCCGAACTCCTCCCCCACTACTGGGTTTGGTCCTAATATGTTTACATCTCTGATCTTACTACATTTAATACTTGTTCTGGGTAAAGTCAAAGGAGTGTATGAGGTGCTGTCTGGATCACACTGTTCCAATAAGGACTTTGATAGCTTTGTTTTAGTGCCTTTTGGGAAAGAAAAGAGGGAAAGCACCGCTACTAATCCAGCAACCAAAACCGTACCTTGCTACTTAAGAATATGGTCATGAAGTTTCTTTTCTACTTTTGGTTTTTATTTCCGGCCGTTGGCACTTTTCCTGTGTAAAGATGAAATGTGTGATGCGTGCACATTTCTGCACAGTTTTGACACTACAGGCAGTTTCCTGGACATGTTGTTTGGTTTTTCAGCAGACCACCAGCCAAAACCGACCTTTATGCATATTTGAATCCATGTTTTAAAAAATATGTCCCACTGTTGTTTTTTTAAGGGCTATGTATTTGTTCAATCAGTCTTAAATGCTTTTTGAACAGCATTTAATCATTCTGGCTCTTTATAGTATTATTTTTTTATAACATTTAAATTAATGTTTGCATGTAGTCCTACATTAGACCTTTTAAATGTATGTGTTTAGATTTAAGTTGCCTTTTTACTTCCGGTATGAGTACAGAATTTAACCGCAATGTTTTGTCTTTTATTATCAAAGTATTTGTACGTACTTCTGTCACCCCCCCCCGCCTTCTTACAATAAAAAGAAAACAAAGACGTTATTGTTGCGTTATCAATGGAGAGGTCTTCTGACATTATTATGGCTGGCATATGAATATTTACCAACATTCAAATGTGGAAAACAGACCGGAAACAAGACGTAGTGACTGATTTAAATGTCAGTTTCTATTTCAAATATGTTGATTTTTTTTCTATTGAGTTTACGCTGCTGCTCGAAGCAACAATTTGTTTATTTTTACTGTTAAACCTTGAAGATGAAGAGAAATAACATCGATATAGGCGTTTTGCTCTTCTAATATCTCGCCAGCTATGAACCAAACTGCCACATTAACACAAATGTCTTTGATGACAAGTTGGACTTCTTTTCTAGCGCCACCATGAGGTCAGCGTTTTTATTTTTTTATATTTGAACTGTTAGGACGGGTAACAGAGTCATTCTGTTTGGTCTAATAACAAATACTTTGAACTCCAAACCAATGACCTCAACCATTGTCATCATTGTGTTAAGTGCTAATAACGAATTGTTAGCACGTTAGCATTCAACTCAAGTTCCTGTTAACCCCCCCGCCCTCCCAAGAAACACTAGCAGGGCTTAGAATAAAGTAAAAGATCCATCAGTGGTGTTTAAATATTTCCAGTGTGTATATTTTAATGCTTTGTGGATCTTCAGCAGGCTTAAGGCATTGCTCTGTCTTCATACGTGTACATCACACAATCCACAGCTTGTAATAAATACAGTACAGATAAAGAGCCTCACACAACCTGACAGGGAGACAGTAGAAGGGCACGTTCACGCACGCACACACACACACACACACACACACGCATGTTTTGCTCAGCACGGTGATTTCACCCATCCAATTTCACTGCACATTCACAAAACTTATTGCGGAGTTGACTTTAGGTAAAATCCAGAGACTCTTACGTACTTTGCTATTGCAGTAAATTAAAAACTACTAATCCCCCCCTGCGCTACCGCTCCATCGGATTACTCCATAAAGGCATTAACAACACATTAAACGTTTACATCGTACTCATATCTGCTCATCAGGACAGGAGACCGGCACAGACAGGCACAGAGGTCCAATCGCGAAGAGCTCCATCCGGCAGGTTGATTTCTGGTCCCTGAAGGTCTCCGTGCTACATCTCCTTTAACCTCACGATAACGCCGCATCACAACTACTCAAACGTGACAGAATTCAAGGCATCTATGTTTTTCAAGCAGTTTTTTTTTTTTTTTTACATGGTACATCCATCCCAAATGTTTTTTCTTTGAAATGGAAGGACTTGCGGTGGAGAGCTGCCCCCCCTTCAGTGTGTGCAGCTCAGCTGACTGTAAACGTGCTCTAAGATCTGCGAGTAGGCCTGATCTTTGGGAGCGTGACAACTCAGAGAGCCCTGTGGAGGAGGAGACAAAGTTTTACCGGTGGCCAGGTGATGTCCATTGATTTAATGTCTCCTGAGGGTCACACTACCTTGATCTTGTCCATCATAGTGGTGTCGGGACACCAGTACTGGCTGAAGTGGACGATGTCGGGAGCCGTCCTGTAGTAGTCAACCAGCAGCATCTTTGTTGGAAATATAAACACCTTTTTTTTTTAAATAGTGATTTACAACATATTTATGAAAAGTCACGGCATTATCTTCGCTTTGGTGTCCGTACCATCTCATTAAGAACGTCGCTGGTGAGAAAGTTGTCCTGCACGTAGGTGACCTCCACAGCCACCGGGATGCCGTGGTCATTGGGCCGTTGCTGCAGGACGGCAGACGTGTGTGTAAATGAACAGTATCAGAAAATACTCAAGTAAGGAAGAGATGAAACACGAAGGGGACTAGTCCTGACCTCCGGCGGTGGGACGACCCAGAACGGGGTTATTGTGGACGCCACGCCCTGATTTCCGTGATAGTACGGCCCTGGAAGAGGGAAAAACAAAGAAAACCTCTTTATTGATATTATTATGACTTTTTTTCCAGCGCATCTCCTGGGTCACTATTTCTGACTTTGGAGAACCGTTCCTTAACCCACCACGTTCCTGACCTTCACCTTCATCACGTGCCACAGATGATGAAGGTGAAGGTCAGCACGTGCCACAGATGATGAAGGTGAAGGTCAGCACGTGCCACAGGTGATGAAGGTGAAGGTCAGCACGTGCCACAGATGATGAAGGTGAAGGTCAGCACGTACCACAGATGACGCCCAGACAGGGCTGGAAGCCGTTGTTCGATCCCTGCAGCCTCAGCTGATGGTCCATCTGGGAGTCGATGTCCTGCAGGGACGGCAGGGCCGGACCTCGCGGGTGGCTGTGGTACCAGCCCACCAACGACAGCCCGCGCATGAACAGGTTCTGACAGATCTGGAGTCCACATGACAAGCGTCTGATTAGAAGGAGAACAAAACAAAAAAAGACTACAAAAACGCAATTGTCTTTATCTCGAGCTGGTGTTTGGTTTGTCCGTTCCGGGCTGCCGTAGAGACACGGCAGCAGGCTGTGTATGCACGCTGTCAGTGCGCACTATTCACTGTGTGCGTCAGTGTGTTACCTCCTCCTCAACAGCCGAAGCAGAGTCTCTGTCTGCCAGCCTGGTCCGACAGGGGAAAGCCCTCAAGACCGTCAGCACTGAAACACGTCGACCACACAGAGGGTTAAAATGCCTGAACCTCCGCTCGCCGCGTACATCTCTCATCTCCACTCACGTTGTGTGTTTGTGTCCCATCGTCCTCCGAGGTATCCCACCACCTCACTGCTGGTCAGGTGACAGTGGAAGTCCTGAAGCGGGGGGGGGGGGTTTAAAGGAGCAGGAGACTTGGGTCCACTGGCTGGTCGTCGGTAAAATGTGCAAAGGCTTTTCACTCACCATCAGCAGCAGCACATTACTGGACACGGCTACGTTGAACGGCTGGAATCTGTTGATGGCCGAGAAGGCGGACAGCTCCACGAGTGTGTGTGGATCTCTGAGGACGACAGTTGAGAGTCCGTCTACACACACGCACACACACACACACACCCGTGGCCACGTGAGGCTGCGTTGATCTTTCAGAAGTAAAGTCGGTACCTGGCGGCATCTCTGGTGCCCAGGGTGCAATATCGGACGGGAATTCTCTCTCGGTCGGTTCTCCGTGAAACCACCACGTCTGTTGAGATGGACATTTTTGCTTATTACGGTTTGTTGAAACTGAAAGTCCGGAGACTTGGGAGGAGAGAAACACTACCATTTAATCCAGGTTTGTTGTTCTTGTTCTTCTCCTCTGCCTGCACGGCCGTCTTCCCTTCCTCTTCGTCCTCGTCGTCTTCCTCCTCACTCACCAGGCTCTGGAGTAAACATTGAATAGTGTACAGATATAGAGGTGCACAGTCTGAACAGTACAAAGTTGTGTTGTGCGCTCACCATGTCTGCGCTGGGTTGGTACTTGTGCAGCCAGGTGGTTTTGTACTGGACCAGCTTCTGGCCCCGGTAGCGCACCGACGCCCAGCCGCAGCCGGACTTCTTGGCCGGGTTGACCAGGCGTTTGCAGTGCGTCGCCCAGGCACTCGGGGAGTTGAAGATCTGCCCGGTCTCCACCCACCTGATTTTCCCATCATTCAACAGGTCTCCTACAAAGTTCTTGCCCTGAGAGAGCGGAGTGGAAAGACTTTTTTTTTTTTGCTCCTTCACCTCTCAGTGCCACCAGATGTGACACGACGCACGCGCATGAATAACAATCTCACTGCGTAACCGCGGCGTTTCGCTATTACCAAGTAGTGGATCGCCAGCACGCCGTCGCCCGGCTCCACCAGGCCGTCCTTGAGCAGCACTCTCAGGGTGATGCCCCTCCGGGTCAGCAGGGAGCCCCGGCCGGAGCTGGACCGCAGGTCCGCCTCCTCTCCTCCACTCAGTTCCTCCTCGTCCTCCTCTCCTCCGTCCTCCACCACCTGTGGAGAGCTGGGTGGCTCCGAGTCTGAGAACACACACGCACACAAACACACACACACACATGGATGGATCATAATGAGCTGAGGTCTGCAGGACTGGCATGTGGGTGCCATGCAATGCTAATAGTAAAAGTCATAATCCGTGGCATGTTGTGATGCCTGTACAATGGTTTCATAATTAGTCTGAGCATCTGGCTATCAGCATATAACATCTGTGCATCACAGCTGCACCCGGAAACAAAGCCAATGCAAATGACCATTATTATGATTATAATGACTTCATAATAAAAGCTGCACTGTAACGGCAGTCAGCCATTATCGTGGTTAAATCATCTCAGGGGACCAAAATAGGGAAAGTAAATCATCTAAATTGGCGTTCCGTTAATTGCGGCTAAGCTATGCGGTCGGTCTTTTGTTTCCACCTTCCATCGGGACGCGGTTCTCTCCGCAAGAAGAGGCCCGCCCCCCGCAAACCTCTGTTAATGCCCCCTCCGAATTACTATTAAACCTTTTATTTCATCATGCTCACCCATAAGCGACGCAGAGCGACTTTAAATCCCACTCGGGTGAAAACAAGCGGCTCCTTTTTCCTCCTCCGGACGCTCGAGTCCGCGTGTTCGAGCTCCGGTGCCGCTTCCACAGACGCCACTATAATTAAAACACACACACACATAAAATGAAGGCGTCTGAGGCTGTGCGGTGTAGTTTCCTTGTTGTGTTGCTTTAATGTCAGTTCCCCTCCCCTTCCTTCCTCCCCCCCCCCCGTCTTTGTCACCCTCCCTGCCTTCTATCAGCCATTATTAACGGGACTAAAAAATAAAAAAAAAAGCACGCTGCTTATTAATAATGTGAAATACTCGGTTACTGCCGGCGGGGAACGTCCCGAATGCTGTTTAAGATAAAGACAAAAAAACGTGGCGATTATTCTGTCGCTCCTCGCGGGAACGTCAACCGCTTTTTATGCGAATTAAAAGTGCCTCGTGGAGATTAAAGTGTCTCTGTCCACGTGTTGTTTGTGTGGTGTTTTATTACCACGGTACACCCGTGCTTAACTGTGTTGTGTAGTGGGTTTTTTCCCTCACTACACCGAGATGTTCCGTCTTTATCTTTCCGGGGAAAAAAAGAAGCGCATTTACCGGGAAACAGCCTCCGGAGGGCAGCAAACCTCCAGCGGATTAAGATCCCTGTTTCTTCCACCTGGTGGTTAAACTGCGGTCAACTCCGCAGACACTTGATTTTTAGTGCACGTGTATGCTGGCGTTTACGGTATTAAACAAGTAACCCGAATAAAAGCTATTTAATCAAACATTCTGGACAATGACTGAAGTATGTGTGTTCAGGACCATTCCGACTACTTTTGTACAATAAAAGGAATACATTTACTCTACAAAGTTAGATAATTATCCTATATTTCAAAGTTCAAAAGGACCAAGTTTGAACTGCAATAAAAAATGCTTTTCTCAATAATTCCAATCAATGACTGTGTTAAGGACATATCTGACTACTAAAAATTAGTATAACTAATAAAAATGAAATATTTTTACTGTACAAATATAGAGAATTATCCAAAGTAGAAATGCTATTTTTGCAATGTCAAAAAGATAATTCCTCAATGTTTGAATTGCAATGGAAATAATTGTCTCAATAAGTCCAAACTATGATTAATGCATGTGTTCAGAAAACCTTTTTATCTTCCATTACAAATTTTTATTTTTTATTCAATATTTTTACAGAACAAATTTGGGGACTAAAACATATTTAAAATGTTTTTAATTCCCCTAAATGCTTTCATAAAACCTAAAAACATCCATAATTACACACCTAATATCTGACAATGAGTTACATATTTATTAACCTTCCGAACAAAAAAAGATGAAAAAAAACATACTCAGAATTTACCATTGAATTGTGTGCCATTCCCTTCATCATCTTAAATATGACACCATTTAATCAGTTATGTAAGATGTATGCCATGACCTTTCTGCTGCATAACATCTGAAAATGAACCCCGACTAGACTGAACTACTTCCCTCTCCAGGAAAAGGTGCTCAGGTCGACCTCCATGTGCGCGTGTGTACTGGACAGTACGGTAAAAGCAGGAACTGACTTCAAAATAAGAGCCGAGTTCCGGTAAACGTATGCAAACTGTTTTGTTTTTTTAAGGAAAAATGTAATTCTAATTGTTTGAATACATAGTCAAAAATATTAATGAAGAATAGATGTACACATAACGGCATGAAAACACTACATCAGATTAAAAAATGTAAATTTAAACTACCCACGCGGACATTGTGAGTACGTTGCTAAGCAACCGTTAGCTAGCTGCTGTAAACGAAGTTAAGGAGCAAATCCAGCTATGAGACTCCTTTAATCGAACTACTGAAGGCGCAGGACGGGAGGAGACACCATGTCAACACAGACAGACGAACAGGCGAACATCGGCCGGGTGCTGAGTTTTCTTCGAGAGTGGGACCGCGGCGACGGGACGGTCCGCGGCCGTATGTTGAACACCTTCCTGACTCTAAACTCGGGGAAGACGTTTTACGAGCTGGAGCTGGAGTTCGCTCAGGTGGCCAGTCTGTTTCTGGCCCGACTCACCACCTGGATGAAACTCACGTATCCTTCGTGTGGTTTCAGCGGAAAACTCAATAGAAACAACATATTTCTAAGGAACGATTAGCAACACGTGCACGTTCTGATTCATGTGTGATGAATGTGTGATTCTGCACACTGTACTTTATGATCTATAACGCGTTCACAGGGTGAATCAAGGATCTGCAGCTTCATGACAATCAGGGGCTGACGAGATATAATATATTAAAATATATATATAAATATATGTTTCTTATTCTTTTACACAGAGTATGTGTTTACTATATCGTGCTTCCTGCACTCGATTGACTCTGAACATAGAGATCCAGTCCTTAAAAGAATATTTAGATACACATTTGGGACGTTCTTGGGAATACAACTTAAAGCGATTGGGATTTTCCTCTCGGCGTCAAGCCAGTGAGTGGAATGAAACTGATGATCATCATCTGTCGTGAGACTGAACGTGTGACCAGTCATGCAGATTTGGTCTTTGACCCGCTTTTTAGTGATCAGTACCTGATGGAGTTCCTGGAGGATGGAGGTGTTCTCTCTCTCCTCAACATCTTGGGCCACTCTCGGAGCAACGAGGAGGAGAAGACTGAGGCCCTTCGTCTTCTGCTCACCGTGTCAAATGCAGGTCGCAAGTACAAGGAGATCATCTGCGAAAGCCATGGTAAATTAATATTTTACCTTTTATTGCAGTTTCTTATTCAAATAGCAAAGGACTTAAGGCCATATGATACAGCAGCAGCAGCTGGTGTTGTTGTTTTTCTTAATGTTCATACCTAAAATGCAGATAAAATAATTATTTTACCAATAACCATTTGGATAACAGGCATTCCAGCTTCACCCTCTATTTTTGTCACATTCTTACAGGTGTGACAGCCATAGCAGAGTGCCTGGCTAAGTCAAATACAGATGAAACCCAAGAGACAGCCGGTGCCCTCCTGGAGTCCATCTCCCATGGAAACCCCAAATATCAAAACCAAATCTACGACGGTCTGATTGCTCTCATGGCTTGTACCTCCCCCAAAGCCCAGCAGCTGGCCCTGCACAACGTGCACACTGTCCAGGTAATCCCCGCTCTTTCACACAATGGATATTTTGGCAAAACTTGAAATATTCAACATATGTGTAGAAATATAAGAGTTCTCCAGCTACCTCCTCTCACAGTGCAAAATGAAAACAGCCCATTGCAGCATTGTGGAACCTCTGCTGAGTATGCTCAGGTCGCTGCACCTAGAGGTTCGGGATGAAGGTAAGCTGAGAAAATGTAAAAAAAAATACATCATGGTAAACCTTTATTGATGATTATTAATATTCTTTTTTTTAATTATTGCTTGAAAATGACCAGCCATTTTTGCATTGAGGCAGAAGTACTATCCTGCCATATACAACCACCTTTGAATATTTTGTCTAACACGCTTCTCCCCCCGTGCGTGTCTCTGGCAGCTATAAGTTTGATCTTAGACCTGAAGTGTTATGATGTGAGGCCGCTGCTGCTCAATGGACTGGTGACTCTGCTGAGGCCTACGAACAAAGTGCAGCACCATTTGGAAGGTGATACTTTAGTCTTAAAGGGACACCCATGTTAAACTAGTTATGCATTATTATTACTATTTATTATTACTATTAATGTGCTGGTATTTATCATTATATTTTGTTGATTCATTCATCCCATCAGAATCTGAGATGATCAAGATGACTGGAACTTTGCCTGTGTTCGTGCAACAAGCTGCCGCAGCCAAAGCTATACGGTGTGTCATATTCGTCCGTTATAACTACACGTGTAATTAATATTACATAATATAATTGAGAAAATGTGATGTTAATATCATGTGATCTATAAAAAAGTATCTATATATAGGGAATTAATATTGCTTTAATAATCTCAGTGTAATATTTCTTTAGCGGTTGTCATACACTATATATATATATTCATATGGTGCTGGATGTGTTGAAGCTTGCTGGCCAAAGACAGTGAAGAGCTTTCTCGTGAGCTTCTCTCTCTTGGAGTGATCCAACATCTTCTGTACACAATGGGAAACAGAGACCACGCTGATGCTCAGATACAAGCCAGTCTGGCCTTAGAGGTAGGCTTCAACCTACATCCAGACACTGTATGTCCACACACATGCACACACACTACAAACACTTTCATAAATTCCTTCATCTCCTTCCAGCACTTTATCCGCTCATACCCGGTTATTGAGGAACATGTGCAGAGAGGCATCAGCAGGACACTGTTTCAAGCCTTCATGGTAAGCTTTAATTTATAAGGTCAATGGGAAAAGTTCTCGGAGGCCGCACATAACAGATTTAATCCCCTATTTTCTACAGCACCACACTGACACTTTGTACATGAATATGGATGAAAGCCAAGCAGAAATCCTGCTCACAAACAAGGTTCACATTACTGAAGGTAATGTGTGTGATTTGTTCGTTGAGGCCAGTCAAACGTTTCTTTTCACTAGTTGCCTGTATCAAATGAGAATCATTGTTTCTTTGTTTTTTCTTGTCAATCTTTGAATTGCAGTTTGAGACGGTGACTACTCTGAAGGATGACAAGAAGGACAACTTTATTTTGTTGATGCAAATAAAAACATTTTTTGGATTTTTTTGCTGTCTACCTTTTTTATTTAAACTAAATTGTGTTTTTATTAAAAGGTGATTCATATGGAACTTGCTTTTACCTTATTTGTAATACGCGCTAATAAAATAACTTTCCTCTAATCTGGTATAACGATAATCAAGCGACACCTTTGCGTATTTCTTAGTTTGACCCTCACACCGGAAATGACGTACAATGTCCTTCCGCTGTGTCCTCTCAGCTGATTGGACAACCAGCCACGGTGCGTCATCGAACGTGGCGGTAGGAGAAATGACTCCGTGAAGTAAACAGTTGCGCTGGTGCTGTTCAGAGAGAAATTAAATAAGTCAGGCCGTGTTTGAAAATGAGCAGGTTGCGTTCAGCGGTGCGTAACGGAAAGAGAGCCGGACTAGAGCTGTTAGAAGCGGCCGAACCAAAGCGGAATAGGTCCAATAAGGCGGCGAAAGAAGGCACGTTGCAACTTTATGTTGTTTAACTACAAAATATTTTGTCAAACAAAACCTCACCACATACTAACATTGTAATGTGCTTCTTCATTTTAATTTGAAACTGTTTGAGAAAGTTTTTCTCTTCAGTAATTTAGTTTACAGCTTCAGAAATGACCTTTAATAAATATGTTTCCTGCTTTCTAGAAGAACCCGTGAACGCCTCCTCGCCATCGTGCGCGCGCCACACCTTCCATCCTCCTGCAGATGTTGAGCTGCTGCGCGCTCAGCTGCTCCGCTGGTACGACGAGAACCAGAGGGAACTTCCCTGGAGGACGCTGGTAAAGGAAAACATTTCTCCCACTGGCTCCGACAAGACAGTTTGTCTGTTTGACTCCCCGTATTTGGGTTTTAGAGAGACGTTTTAATTGTGCATCATCATGAAAGTACAGGAGGTGAAGTAGTGAGTTTGGTTCAGACATGAAACTGGTGGGATTTTTGTCTAACTTCATGGTTCTATTTTGTTTTTACATCTCATCACTATACAAATACTAAAAGTTATATAAAAATAAACAAGGATTACAAAATAGTAAATTAAACTAGTATATATGTATAGAGTATATCTGACCCCTTATGTTTTATTTGAAATATAATAAGATTAACTATTGAATGCATAGAATGAGGTACTTATCTAAAACTGGTGTATTAACTACTCCACTGTCAAACCTCCAGTTTGGTAAAACAACCCTGAATTTAGAAAATCAAAAGTATCCCTTCCAAGTCTTTTCTGTTGTTCCATAGCTTTTTTCAGACAATATTCTCATCTAATTGTTAACAAAAATGATTTATATATACGTCAATGTCTAATTTTATGATGAGTGAATGATGAAAAAAAACCTTGAAAATTCCCAATTGCAAAAGGTTGATCCTGATATCGAGCGATGCTGCTCTGCCTTTAATTATTGACACACCAAAACAATGCTGAATTCTTTAACTGCTCTCTGTATTTCTTTACAGGCCGTGACGGAGTCAGACCTCAACATCAGGACATACGCAGGTAAGCAGATGGTTTCACGCATTTAACAATCCCAACACTTCTTATAAGACTGTTTTTCTCTCTTCTTTTTGTCTAGTCTGGGTTTCAGAAATCATGCTGCAACAGACCCAGGTTTCCACAGTTATAGACTATTACAACAAATGGATGAAGGTAGGTGTCTTTGTCTTGTGATACGTTAACTGTAATCAATATATCTCATTCTCTGTAATCTAATCTCTTCCTCCCCTTTGTGTCCCAGCGGTGGCCCACTGTGCAGCACCTATCTTCTGCGACGCTGGAGGTGAAGACCATGGACATGATGGGGATTTTTCAATAGCATTGACTTCAATCTTAATTCATTGATTTTCACCCGTGTGTAGGAAGTGAACCAGATGTGGGCGGGGCTTGGCTACTACTCCAGAGGGAGAAGACTGCATGAAGGGGCTCAAAAGGTTTGTGTTGGGTTTGGCACATCTGCCCCGGCTGACTCACTTGCTATGATTTTATGCAAAAAAAAAATCCATAGTCCATCACCCGACATTGTGAACTATGGGAGCCGGTTGTGTATTTGTATTTTGTCTGCGGCAGGTGGAGTCGGAGCTTGAGGGACAGATGCCTCGCACGGCGGACAGCCTGCTGAAACAGCTGCCCGGCGTGGGACGCTACACAGCTGCGGCTGTGGGCTCTATTGCTCTCGGGCAGGTGTGTTTCTACGGACCAGAGCGAGAACCAGCTTCGCCGCCCCGTTGGTGACCGCAAGGATATCTCTGTTGCCTAGGTTACCGGAGCGGTGGACGGCAATGTGGTTCGGGTGCTGTGTCGCCTGAGGGCCATCGGAGCCGACAGCACGAGTCCCGCAGTAACAGAGGCCCTCTGGTGAGACTCTACTTTTACCATGTGATCCCAGCAAAGTCTGTCTGGAAAGGACATCTTTGTTGTATCAGATGATTCCAGCCAACAGATTTGAGCTTTTATTAGATCAAATATATTCAGGTGTAAAACAAATTCTGTTTAAATTTCCGTATTTCATGCGAGTCAAATTATGATCTTTGATATTAAAATCTGCTTTCTATGTGAAATTGTATTAAAGTGAAATTGAGGTCCTAAAAATAAAATCTTCAATTCAATGTGGAGCAATAAATTGTTAATGCAAATGGGCCTTTTTTTTTCTTCTCTATTTCAGGGGACTCGCCAATACGCTGGTGGACCCTGAGAGGCCCGGAGACTTCAACCAGGCCATGATGGAGCTGGGAGCCCGCGTCTGTTCCCCTAGAGGCCCCGTGTGCAGCCAGTGTCCCGTACGGTCTCACTGCCACTCCTTCCGCACGGTGAGCCAAACTAATGCCAGGACGTAATGCCTGTGGTTTCATCTGATCAGATCTGAATTATCAATGCTTTGAATCATATGGAAAACTCGTCTGTGGACGTGATACAGTGTGTGAATGTGCAGGTTCACAGAGAGAAAGAGAAAAACGCCAGGAAGCCGCCCGCACCGCCCGATATAGAAGACTGTAGTAAGTGTCAGGACTTCTCATCTCTAAGTCAGAGCTACAGGTATCAAATGAATGTACTGTCTCCTCTCGCTCAGTGAACAGCGAGACGTGTCCCCTGTGTCCCTCGGAGCCCTGGGACGAGGCGTTGGGGGTTCAGAACTTCCCGAGGAAGCCGCCGAAGAAGCCGCCTCGCGTGGAACGAACTCTGACCTGCGTGGTGACGAGACGCGGAGAGGAGGGAGGGGACGAGTACCTGCTCACACGGAGGCCAAAGAAAGGTCGGTGTGTCTTAACTTAATAAATACTCAGGTGGGCTGCATTAATAAATACAACAAATGTGACTCAAAAGGGAACGTCATTTTAAATTCAAATCAATCAATCCAAAGTACACCTCTACCTAAATCACACATACAATTAACATCTGTGGAGATTTGATCCTTTTTATCGAACCAACAGGTTTGCTGGCAGGCTTGTGGGAGTTTCCGGGTCTCCTGCAGGGGGAGAAGAGCTCCGAGTCGAAGGACAAGGCGGCTCTGTGTGCTCAGATCAGCGAGTTACTGGCAACCGATGTGGCAGAAAGCCTCATGCAGTATGCGGGGGAGGTGAGCTCGATGTCACCCGCCTCTCTTCATCATGCACACTTTTAACGCTGCGGCGTGTGTCCCTGCACTGACGGATTTGCCCGTTTTCAGGTGGTTCACATCTTCTCCCACATCCACCAGACGTACGTGGTTCACAGCGTGCGCCTGAAGGACGCCGGCACACAGACGCGGGCTGAAAACGCCAGGTGGCTCACCAGGTCGGCTCTTCAGGAAGCCGCCGTGTCCACGGGAGTGAAAAAGGTTTTTATTGTTGTTTACAAGGCGGGCGTGAAGGAAAGCTGTGAGCGCAGCAGTGGGTGAGCGCGCACATCTGCTTTACCTTCAGCCTTCAGAGTGAATGAGGCCGATGTGTTAATTCTCCTGCAGATTGTGAAGCTCTGTGACTCTGTGGACAGTGAAAAGGAGCAAAGCTGCAATGTAAGTATACGTTTATCTGTGTGTGTGTGTGTGTAATAAAAGCAGATTCCACCTTTTATCATTTGTCTCTTCTTGTCTCAATTAGGGCGGGAAAAGGCAGAATTGCACCGGCACGAAGAAGAAAAAGAACCAACCGACCTCCAAAAAACCCAAACTGAGTGCGGCTGACAGCGGCAGCAGACAGCTCTCCCTCAGCGCCTTCTTCAGCCGCGTGAAGCAGGAATCTTAATATATATATATTAATATCATCAAGTATCGCGTGTCCCTGCAGGGACTTCTAGTCCATCAGCTGTGTCGTTAAATTTCTAGCGACCTCTTTGCTGATAATGTTTTCATCACTACATCATGAATAGTCTTCATGTTTTACCAGCAGTGTGTATACGTGTTTATTAAAATGAACAGTTTTTATTTCGCCATGAACATAACTTTTGATAAATGAATAAAGCCCAAACACAAGAAAAATACTTGGTATAAATTGTTTGTTTATTATGTTGTTATTAAGGTAATATGACACAAAAATTCATCTGCATCCATCCTTTCATTGATGTGTATATATATATATATATATATATATATGTGTGTGTGTGTGTGTGTATATATATATATATATATATATATGTGTGTGTGTGTGTGTGTATATATATATATATATATATATGTATATATATATATATATATATATATATGTATATGTATATATATATATATATGTATATATATATATGTATATATATATATATATATATATAATATATATGTGTGTGTATGTCTGTATATGTAAAGAATAATTAAAGTGTGTCCCCTTATGGCGGGAAACAGCGCCCCCTGCTGTGCTGAACACGTGACGTCCGACTGATCGCATCTCAGACCGAAGATCTTGGTGCCGGAGGAGACGTGGAGTAATACGTGCGAGCGATTCGGATCTCCTCTCTTAATGACGCATCTGTCTTTTCAAATGACGCATCGTGCGCATTTTTGGCCGTGGTTTCGTTCGGTCTGCTGAGGTGGAGTTTCCGGTCCGGCTGGTTGCTCCGGTCCGTCCTCTTTTCACCGCTTTAGCAGGTTTGAACTTTGCTTCCACTTATCGCCAGATAACGTCGGTGTCCAAAGGTCCTCCGGTTCGGTCCCCGGGGGTTCACCGTTCAGACCGCCGGCCGCGAGGTGCGCATCGTCGGGTGAATTGTTCACGTTTGATGCATGTAGACGTTTTTCTTCTTCGTTCTCCGTGAACTCTCGTTGTGTTTTCAGATGGACTCTGCTGCGTGGACACGTGTCCTCTCAGTGCACCAGAGAATAGTGGACAATGGAGGTGAGGCGATGTTCCCCTAATAAACTTGCTAACGTCGCTGCAGTAAACTTGCAATAAACTTGGATAAAATATTGACTTTATTGAAGGAATCCCCGCTCTTAGAAACAGGCCTGTGTGTGTGTGTGTGGGGGGTGCAGATGTTCTGGCCGACTTGTCTTCACAATGACCGCTTTGTGGCTTGTCACGTGATATCCGGCCACGCCACTTTTGGAAGGAGAGGGGAGGACCTGCTTTTGTCCCCTTAAACTGTTGAACTTTTACAAAACTGAACAAACGGGTTATCAGTGCAAAGAAAGACCTGGAAACGTACAATCGGGGCAGCTCTTATACTGGGGACTCATAGCCAGAGATGTGGGCCGCAAAATGTGCGCGTGAACATGACTCCCTGACGCGAAGCTTCTGTGGCGTCTCCAGACAAGAGGACGGACCCGTGGCTGCTGGTCTACTCCCCCGTCCCGGTGGCGCTCATCTTCCTGGCGTACCTCCTGGTGGTCTGGGCCGGCCCCCGTCTGATGAAGCACAGAGAACCCTTCGACCTCAAGGTCGTCCTGGTCCTTTACAACTTCGCCATGGTCGGCCTGTCGGCCTACATGTTTCACGAGGTGGTGCAAATGTTTCACAGATTGTAATTTCTGTTTTCATGTTGGTGGTGTTGTGTATGAATATTTGTAATGTTCGCACCAGTTCCTGGTGACGTCGTGGCTCTCCAACTACAGCCTCCTGTGCCAGCCCGTCGACTACAGCAGCAGGCCGCTGCCCCTGAGGGTGAGCGAGCCGCACGATCGGCGTTAAAAACCAATCTGCTGGAAGGTGGAACAGTATGCAACAAACTCACATTTCAACCTTCCTGCAGATGGCCAACGTCTGCTGGTGGTTCTTCTTCTCCAAGGTCATCGAGCTCGCCGACACGGTGCGTGAACTGTTAGTAGCGTTTGGTGGCATCCGCGGAATGCAGGATGCAGAAGTTCAAACTGTAGCGGCCTCCTCTGCTCCCAGATGTTCTTCATCCTGAGGAAGAAGAACAACCAGCTGACCTTCCTTCACGTCTACCACCACGGCACCATGATCTTCAACTGGTGGGCGGGCATCAAGTACGTGGCCGGCGGACAGTGTAAGTCAACGGATTTAATCACGTCATCTAAATGTTTCCCATTGCTGAACCGCAATCGTCCTCATTCTACCGTTGATGTGCTCATGTACTACTGGAGAGCTTTTTTTCTTCTTCATTCCCGCCCTGTTTCCACATTCCTGTGTTCGCTTCCGGCAGCGTTTTTCATCGGCCTGGTCAACACGCTGGTCCACACCGTGATGTACTCGTACTACGGCCTGGCGGCGCTCGGCCCCCACATGCAGAAGTACCTGTGGTGGAAGAGGTACCTCACCTCTCTGCAGCTGGTGAGTGAAGAACCGTGACCCCCCCACTTACAATAAGTATATATATATATATATATATATATATATATATAAAAATATATATTTGTACGGTAAACCTGCCTCAACTCCCCCCCCCTCCTCCTGACTGGCTTCCCAGCTGCAGTTCCTGCTGTTCCTCCTGCACACCGGGTACAACCTGTTCACCGAGTGCGACTTCCCCGACTCCATGAACCTGGTGGTGTTCGGTTACTGCGTCACGCTCATCGTGCTCTTCAGTAACTTCTATTTTCAGAGCTACCTCCACAAGAGGAAGCAGAAATGAGACGTGCGCGCGGCACTGAGGTGTACCTGCCTCATTGTTCTGTGTGCAGTAGCCAGTAGTGTCCACTAGGGGCGTCCGCTCTCTACTCTTCTTCTGTTGCCGCTCATCATTCATCGTGAAGGGAAAGATGCTTCACACAGTTGAGGTCCTCAGTGCGACGTGAGTACTCACAGGTCACGTGTGGGATGCGAGTGCTCTGCGGTTCATTTTGCGTGGAATGTCTACGGGAACAAAGAGAAGTATGTGTCTGGACCGCTGAAGTGTGAAGTTGTGGCCAGCGACAATAATTTGAATTCCTGAGCAAGAATGTTCCTCTGCAATTTTCTGTAGTACTCACAGCAATATAGTATTTTGAGTGTAATGAATGAGCACATCACATGACACAGTTATGCTGCGTTTAGATGAAATGATTGGCCAAAGCTTTATTTGAATAAATTCAACAATATTTATGGTAATTAGTTCTGGATTACTCATCTTGTGTTATTGTTGTGAGATATAACACATGCATAACGCTAGGTGAACAACCTGCAAATATGCGATATAAAACCACCTTAAAGGCACATAATATATACTGGAAAATATAAATGTACCCTGAGAAAAACTAATTCCTTTATGGTAATGGTTTTTTGAGCCTGTATCAACTTCTCAGGTTAAGCTTTTTGGGTCAAGCTCAACAACTGCATATCGAGGAAGTGGATGAACTCACTGACGCCGCCATCAGATCACATGGCGGCGCCTCCACATTCAGAAAGAGCAACGAGCAGTTGTGTAACAGCAATCCAGTCACTCACTCACTCGGTGCGAGACACTGAATAACCTGCATGTGCACGAGATGTTAATCTGAGGTTAGAAGCAGGTTAACCTGCAGCACCCGGAGAGGAATTCCTCCTCCTCCCCCGATGTCACTCTGCAGTCAAAGTTAATCATTTTCTGAGCTGAGTTGTGTTTTCAGAAGGTGGGAAGCTGCAGTCGTTGAGTTTGTTCCAGAGCGAAGTGACAGCAGCAAACCTGCAGCTATTGTGTGACTTTCCTTTACGCACACATGCATTATTGCCACAGGGGATAACAGTGTCGTGGTGCCATCGCTTGTAATTAAGTACAAATACAAATTATTTTAAAAGTTAATTTGTATTAATGTTTTGTTTTAAAGCAGATTGCTTCGATGTGCCTTTAAGGTTTTTTTATTCAATTAGTTTAAAAGACCAAATTGTACATACGGTTTAATTTCTACATTGTGATTATAAGATGTTTTTACAAGCTGTGGGATAATTGTCGGGTTTATTACTTTAATAAAAATGTAATGTTAGTGGACACAAGAGTGCCGAGAGTGTAACTTTGTACAATAAAGCACAAGCACCAGAAAAATCATCATGATTAAAGCCAATTTTAGGTTTTAGTAGCTTTGTTTATTGTGGACAGTTAACAAAGCATCTGCTGTTTGTTTGTATTGGTTTTTTTAAATGACTTGGTATGTGATAGGGGTCACTGACTGTGACATATCAAATAATACCTGTTACTATTACGACTAAAAGTACTGCATTCAAAATGAAAGACAAATACACAAGAGGATTAGCGTCAATATAAACTTCTCTACCGAAAATAATATGACTCCTTTCAGAATGATAATTAAATAATATTTTTGATTGATGGATTTCAGTTAAGCATCAATTTAATGTAGCAGCTGCAGGGGCTGATTTAAAGTACTTCTTCCTCTTTCCTTCGCGGAGACGGAATAATTGGCTCAAACAGCGAAAGTGGGCGTCGGTGACGTCGTGGCGGGAAACAGCGCCCCCCGCCGGCCGCCGCGCGCAACGACACGCTCATTCTGTCACCCCCCCTCCCTCCCCCCAAAAAAAATCCAAAACGCAGAAGTGAAGACAAACAGGAAGTGATTCAAATCAGATGTCAGTACTTTCTTCTCCGCTCTGTTTCAAAGTTAACCGCGTAGGAGGCAAGTCGCCATTGCAGCTCCCCGCGTGCGGCAGCTTCTCGCTTTAACGAACTTTAATCCACGCGATCCGGTTCCGCGGCTCCGCGTCTCCCCGCGAACGCCCTTCATTCATTCATCGACCAAAAAAAAAAAAGGCTCCGGCACCGCCAGGTGAATCCAGGCCAACAGGCTGAGAGGCTCCAGCGAGGGAAACGACGGCGAGTACATTTCTTCATCTTTAAACCTTTTACGTTTGTTTGTGAGGGTTTTTTGTTTGTTTGTTTGTTTGTTTGTTGCCTCTTTTTCTGCTTCCTCGTTGACTTTCTTGACGTTTCCAGATGGCTTCAGCGTGGCAGAGCGTCGTGTCCGTGCACCAGACGATAGTGGAAAGCGGAGGTATGAGTTGTGATTATTATAATTAGTATTATTCGTTTTCGTTTAGTCACTTAGTTCCCTGCGAACAACAAGCCTTTGTGTGTCCGTTGGCGTGTGGGAGATGCAGATGTGCTCCACGTCTCGACAATGACGGCTTTGTGGGTCCAGTTCCACGTTGGGCCTCCATGACACTTAACGAGAAACCTTGTTCAGGAGCAGGGAAGCTTTTCGTTGCGAACGTTTGTGGTTGGGACTCCCAGTGCCGGAGGCCTCAGCTGAACTGGGACTGGGAACCGGGGTTCGGGGGGGGGGGGTTAAATAAAAGTGTCACAAGCATCTTCTGGGATGCAAACGCCGCTGTCCTGTGATGCGCGTGTGAACGTGGACACGAACCCCTGACGCGAAGCTTCTGTGGCGTCTCCAGACAAGAGGACGGACGAGTGGCTGCTGGTCTACTCCCCCGTCCCGGTGGCGCTCATCTTCCTGGCGTACCTCTTCGTGGTCTGGGCCGGCCCCCGTCTGATGAAGCACAGAGAACCCTTCGACCTCAAAGGCGTCCTGGTCTTGTACAACTTCGCCATGGTCGGCCTGTCGGCCTACATGTTCTACGAGGTGCGTCTTCCTTTGTTTGTCTCGGTAGAAGAAGAAGAAGAAGAAGCAGCAGGTCGGTGGCGTTTCGTGTGGCCTAAGTAACCGTGTGAATGTCCGTTTGTACCAGATCCTGGTCACGGCGTGGCTCTCCAACTACAGCCTCCTGTGCCAGCCCGTCGACTACAGCACCAAGCCGCTGCCCCTGAGGGTGAGCGACACGCCGCGCGCCCCCCGCTTTTAAAACCGTCCAACGAAACGACGCGTCAGACTCACATTCCAACGTGGTTTCCCTCCCCGCAGATGGCCAAGGCCTGCTGGTGGTTCTTCTTCTCCAAGATCATCGAGCTGGCCGACACGGTGCGTCGCTGTTTCAAGAGTGTTCAAAGTTGCCAGCGGGCTGAGTTGAAGCGATAACCCCACCTCCCCCCTTGCAGATGTTCTTCATCCTGAGGAAGAAGAACAACCAGCTGACTTTCCTCCACGTCTACCACCACGGGCCCCTGATGTTCAACTGGTGGGCGGGCATCAAGTACGTGGCCGGCGGACAGTGTAAGTCAACCCCTCCGGCCCGTTATGACAGGAAGTGGAAGTCATGTAAAGGAGAGCCGCGCCGATGCGTGAGATTGTTTCTTTTTAAATGTGCATTGATCCAAACGGAGTTTTAATGGGTTACTTGGGAACAAATGGATTTTGGATTAAGTGCCGCGCACAGATTAAGGAAGTGGGGAAAATATTAAGACCGAGTTGGCTTTTATTGACGTCCGTTGGCAATAAATAAACAGAAGCTGTAGAATAATTGCTCTGACTTGTCCGGTCCTTCCTGTGAAAACGCCCCTTTCGGTGTTCCTTCCCATTCTAAACATATTTCCATCACACGCGTGCTAATTTGAATGAAACAAAAGACCTGTGCAACAAAACGGCCGACCTCAAAGAGTCGTTTTGTTTCTCGTTTATTTCAGCTCACTTGTTGAAATCCTCGTCTTGTTGTGGCCGTTTGCCATCCGGCCCTTTTTGTATTGAAGCAACGGGAGGCTAATTAAGCCGCCTCGCGGGACCCGAACGTTCCCAAAGCTCAACCGTCGAGCCGACAAGAAGTCTGCGCAACCTCTGTTGGCTCTTTGCGTCATTCTCCTGCGTTTGCTGCCGCGCAAGTTTGAACACGCAGACCGGCTCCGTATCCAAGTTCCCACACAGCCGGCGCGTGACCTTTGTAACACTTTAAGGCCAAGGACTCCAGTAAGACCTGAGAAATCTCCAAATAAATGTTTACAATCACACGTGACAACTTTTAACGACACGGTTCATTGGATGTGAAGTTCAGCTTTCCATCTTTTTACTGACGTTCTTTATGACTTTCTTAATTTCTCACATTGTATTGTATTTTTTTGTGTTACTAAGAGCATTTTATGACTTGCAATAATCATTTACATGACGGGTGATATAATGTACAGTATTTCTTTATGAAACACCTCTGTATGACATGTCACACTGTGGGTACGATTCTCCAACTTTATGACGAATAGTACAACTTTTACATCTTTGGATCTCTCGTACTATGACATTTTTTTACCTGCTAAGTACTTTTTATGAAATACTTTGACAAATTCTTTTATGAAACACTATTCTTTTAAATGACGTTATTATTGACTTTGTGTACAATTATTTTTATTTGACATATACTATCAACCGAATATTTGTTCCATGCTACACAAGGAACGTCTTGTATATTGTAACTTTTGCAGTTTCTTTATGATCGAATATGACGTTATGACACCTAACTACAACAATACTTTTACAATGTAGGACACACAATCCTCACCTATTTATCTTTTTCATGACCAGCTATAATTTGCATTTTTTGAGGGCTTACTGTACTGACTTTTACATTTATTTATAATTTTAATGACAATTTTCCAGCATGCTTTACTTTGACCTTTTAACATAACATGCAAAAGGACGCTTTCATTGATGTGATGATTTTGTTTGACATACGTACTTCACCCACAACCATTAATTCAATATTATACCAGAACTACTTTTATTTCCCTATTTTGTTTTAAGCTTCATGAGCCACATTACTATGAATGACCTTCTATGGCTTAGGTTTAATTTCTTTAAGCAACCTTTTTTTCCTTGACATCGGGAAGACGTTTTACGGCATTCTTGTCGTAATCTTTGACGGTTTCCTTCCACGACATGCAGGCATTAGATATATCTAAAGTATCTAAGGACAACTCGCTTTGTTCTCCTACATACCTCCACATGCTCGAGGACGAAAACGACCAGTTCCTTATTAGCAGGTTTATGACTCATTCTAGACTTCTCCCTCTACAAAGTGTCCATGTCTTTTCACACATTCTTCTGTTCGCTTCCTGCAGCGTTTCTCATCTGCCTGGTGAACACCTTCATTCACCTGGTGATGTACTCGTACTACGGCCTGGCGGCGCTCGGCCCCCACATGCAGAAGTACCTGTGGTGGAAGCGGTACCTCACCTCTCTGCAGCTGGTGAGCGGCTCTTGCAAAAAAAAAAAAAAGTCAACCGTGGCCGCGATGACGTTTTTTTTGTGACGCGAACCGATCTGAACTTCTCCCCGAATGACTTTTCCAGGTGCAGCTTTTTCTGTTCCTCGTGCACTCCGGCTACAACCTGTTCACCGAGTGCGACTTCCCCGACTCCATGAACGCGGCGGTGTTCGGGTACTGCGTCGTGCTCGTCATCCTCTTCAGCAACTTCTATTATCAGAGCTACCTCAACAAGAAGAAGCAGAAATAAGTGTTTGTGTCTGTTTGAGGGATCGTTTTCCGTCTGCAGTACTCGGCTACGTCCACCAGAGGGAGCAACGGGCCCGCCGTCTGCGCGTCATTCCCCCTCATTTAAGTTCTCTCTGTATTTTATATCAAGTGTCAAATGCATGGTTTAAAAAGACATGATCATTCAATTATTTATTTCTTAAATTGAGAAATGACAAATATTCAAATGATTGCTGTAAACAAACTGTACATTTTATACATAACAAAGTAGGTTTTTTTCTGCATTACTGCAGAATTAAAGAGTTCACACTTTCCTCAAAGGATCCATCCCCTTAATAGAACAAAATATGGAAATTAACATTCCACTGCCAAAACACTGCAAAATGATATATCCTTTTCAACACTTCAGTCTAAAATAGATTGAAACATGTAAAGTCAAAACGAGAAGGAAGACATTTAATTTCCATTCACGAGTTTTGTGTTTGAAATGTATATATTGATGCTAAAAAAACCCTACATGAGTTCTGAGTTTAAGAAATAAAGTATATGGAACCTTTAAAAGCCTAACAAAAATGGGCTTCCTTGTGATTTCTTTGACTTTCTTTTGACCGTTGGGACGTCCTCATTCGCACACACCGCATGAGGCTTGTTGGGAACCTACTTTTGTAAATAAAACAGTCAATCAGATTGCAGTACACGTCTGTTCCATCTCGCCAGTTTTACGTCCATCCGACATCTAATTGTGTCGGAATGAGATCGCACAGGGAGGAGACGAGAGGGGGGGGGGGGGGTCTACTCGGGAGAGGACGAAGGGCCGCTGGGGAGTCTTATGTCTCCGTGTACACGGAGGGCATGTGGCTCAGGCCGCGGTCGAAGTTGCCCACCTGGAAGAAAATGCTCTCCTCCGGGCCGGAGAACTGGCAGCCCGCGCCGCCCTGAAGCTCCTGGGTCAGATTGAAACCTGGAACAGACGCAATTAAGAGAGCGGTTTGTTTAAAAAAAAAAAAACGCATGTAGATGAAGACGTCGGCCGTCCCGGTGAAACGCTCTCACCTGCAGCGCCGGTGTTGCCGGCGGACATGTGGTAGCCGTTGTGCTGGTGGGAAGCGTAGGCGAGGGCGTCTCCTGGCACGTGGACGCCGCCGGCCGCCTGCTGCTGCTGCTGCTGCTGCTGCTCCATCCTGTACGAGTCCCCGAAATGGAAGCAGCTCTGAAAGCTCCCCTGGTATTCTGGGAAACGAGGGAAGACGTCTGAGCACAAAGGAAAAGGGAGAAAGACGCGACCAGACTGTGGGCGTCCGCTCCATCCGGACGAAACTCAAAAATCAAGACAATGTTATATCTGTTTTTGTGCTAACTGCTCCCGCCGCATAGTGTGTTACATTTATCCCCGTCGTCTCAGTTTGGACCGCAGGACTCGCAAGAATGGGGAACGCAGCCTTCCCCGCGGCGCTCTTACGCAACCCCCCCTGACCACAGCGCGGTTAGCGAGACGTCCATGTGTAGATCTTTACAGGGAAAACAGTGTTTAAGGCATTAGTGGAAAAGGCTGAGTGACAGCTGAGTCCGCCATGTACTGAGAGACTGAGGAACACATGAGCCAGCAGTATGTTGAGCTAATGCAGCTCAGGATAAAGACTTCTGGCGTGCGGTCTCTTCCCCCCCCCGCCCCCCCACTCTGTCTCCACGACTCTAATCTCCCTGTGTCCTAAAAATGCTCTGGCGGAGACTTCCTCCCTCCCTTTGAGACCTTTCATCTGGGTCCGCATAGAAACAGCGAGCGTTTGAAAAACGCTGCACGGGGAGCGCTGCGATGTAAATTTCCCTCACAGGAAGTTCTAGAGGAGTAAATCTCCGGCTACTGAATCACCTGCAGGATGTTGAAGTGGAAGAACAAAGAGGCGTCGAGCCAGATGTGCGCGGGTCGGCCTTACCGTCGCCAGCAGACTGGTGGTGGTGGTGATAGTAGGGCTTGTGGTGCGGGTGGACATGCTGTTTCTCCAGAGGAGGCGGCGGCGTCCCTGTCCCCTTCATTCCTGGAGACATGAGGCCCCCCGACACCCTGGAGGAGACACAGAAAGATTGAAACCGCCTCCATCCGCTTCGATGCTCCCTAGGCCGCCTCAATCATTTGTGACGCTTTAGTGACGGCGCCGATCAAAGCGGCGAGCTCTACCCGCTGACCGCGTGACGCCCGAGAGCCCAGCGGGGCGGTTAGCGATCCTAGACACACGGAAGATGAAACATTCCAGGCGTGTGGAAAACTCGGGCTCCCCACATTTAATCGTCCTCCGACCACATATTATGATGTTGAGTCAACAAACAGCAGAGCGTGCATTGAAGTGAAAGCAACGCCCCCCCCCCGACCCCCCCGACCTCACACACACCGCCCACCACGGCAGGAACCAGAGAGGCGAAAGCACGACACCGTTTACATCTTTGGAGAAATGACAGAGAGCGATGACGTGTTTGTGCCTTTGTTGACTCAAACAGCTGAGAGGACTTTTTTTCTTTGTGTGGAAATGATCATTTGAATAAAGTTCTGTGTGTAATTTGAAACACCGCCAGTATCGCATGCGTCACGGGGTAGTATGTGGAAAATGACAGTACAGCGTGTCAAAAAAGGTATTTAGGTCAAAAAAAATGTTCCCGTGTTGTAAAAGTCATGAAAATAAGAAAAAGTTATAGCATGTTGATAAATGACAAAAAAGTCAATGTAGTATGGATTTAAAGAGTATGTCATTAAGAAAGGTCAAACAGAGTAACTAAATAATGTCAAAATGTAATTTAGTGTAATATGATATTTCAAATGTTTAAAAATCCTGTGTTGTACAATATACATGTACGTTATGTTGCATCTTCATCAGATCACACTGATTGCATCAGTCAGAAATGGTCTTCAGGTATTAATTCATTAAAATATGAGACAGTGGCCACTGATTCAACATTTATTGTGCCCCCGACATCAACTTAATCACTGAGCGCCGTACGAGTGTGATGACCGAGTGTTGCTGGAGCCTTCAGACGACTGCGCCCCGCCGGCCTGGACGGATGGAGCTCGCTACGTGACTGAGGGGGGCTCCACCCGGCCCCCGGGCGGCCAGAAAACCTTAATGAAAAATATGCATTAGCATATTCTTTTTTGGGGGGTTTCGATGCCTTTGCTCCGTTTTTCCAGTGTGGTGAACGTATGAATGGGTCGCGTGTTATGTGGAGGACACACGTCAGTGGTCATCAGACGACCACGTGTGGGAAAGTAACAAAGTAACCAAACGTTATACAGTTTTGAGTGTATTTTATAGGAAAATTTGTTCCTAGTCGATTTCATTTTTCACTGCACTTGACCGTGTTGTCAGTCGAGCTTTGGAGCAGCTAGCTGTTAGCTGTTAGCATGGCGAATCCCCGGCTCCTGCAGAGCGCGTCTCTCCCCGAGGAGCTGCTGTCAGCACAAACTCAGGAAACAGTTATGCTGTTCATATTTTTACAAGCTGCCTCTACGTGCAGCTAAAGTGAATCTTAAGCTAATCACTGCCAGCCGCCCCCCCCCGGGCCCTGCTCTCCAGCTCGCTAGCGACTCCGGCACGAGACATGAGGGGAAACTTTCATACGCCACATTACCCCCCCACCCTCCCCCCCCCGATACTCATCTTCACTGACCGCTCTGCAGGACTCCTCTTTCTGCAGCCGGCCCACCCACTCCTGTCCCACCGCCACGAGGGAGCGATTCCACCGCTGACCCGTGGGTCGCCGAAGGTGGAGATGGAGGGGAGGGGGGATTTTAAGGCGAAGCCGTCAGATTGATGGACTACGTTTAATAAATATCTATAAGGTCGAGAGGTCAAAGAGAGTGGGAACAGATACGTACAATACCCTCGTGTGGAGACAAGGAGGAGGTGGAAGCGGTGAGCGGGACGGTTTACGAGACCTCCCTTTTTTTCGCTCAGCGAGAACACAGCTCGGTGACTTCGGCCCAGTAAATGTTCCTGGGAGAAGCTGATGTCATTCTTGGGAACACGTTTCATGACTAAACATCTAAGAAATGCTTCAGCAACAAGGTGAAAAGGTCTTTCAACCTGGACTGTTTGCTGCATCACAGCCACACGAGACCAGACAAAAAAAACACACCCTGTGTTCTAGTACGCAGGCACGGACGTCGACTGCAGCGGTTTTTCCAGAAACATCACAAGTGACCCCGGGGGCATGATGGGACGGCAAGAAACCCGAAGATTCATGAGCAGTCCCGCTCTGCTGCTCGTTCGTCTTCCTTCACCTGCCGCTGGCCGTTCCCACGAGGGATCGAGGATCAGACCCTGTCCTCCAAAGACCCCTACGCTCTCCCTAGACACCCCCCCCACCCCCTCCCACACACTCACACCTCTCATCTCGTCCACCATTGAGCCCCTTCTGATGGATGACGACGGCTTCTCTGGCACGGATTGGTGGGAACACTTCTGGTTCTGGTTAGCGAGCTAAAGCCGCGCTTGAGTGGCTGAAGCTAAAGCTAAAGCTAAGGCCGCCCTGCAGGCCCCAGAGTTAAGAGCGCAGCCAGGGCTCTGGATGTTGCGCGCCCCCCACCCCCGAGGCCCCCCGTTAAGAGAGCTAGTCGAGACGAGGACTCCCGCCTTAATGGATAACTCAGCGGCACAAAAAACGAGCGGCAAAACCTCAGAAATGTTTTTGTTCCGGCTGTGAGATCGAGAACCTGTTTCTGGATCATCGCAGAATGATGATGGCTGGAGGACGGACAGAGTCGAGTTACGCGCCTCGAACGCCCCGCGTCCCCCCCCAAACTTCCCCTCCCATCAGAGCGGGAACTCTTAATGTAGCTCTGTGCCGTCTCTGCCGCCACTCTAATTCAATTAGCCCGTGTCACTCACTGCTGAGGTATCAAACCACCCCGGACTAATATTTGCGGAGGGGCTCTAACATCAATACGCAGGTAGAGGCCGCGGACTCTCGTCTCCGTAATTATATAAGCGCGTACGGCTGAAGCAGTGAATGACAACATTTACCACCCATCGCTCAGCGAGAACGCGCCGCCACGGGCGAAACAGCCGCCTCTGTGAGAGGGGGCCCCCGCAGTCACATACACTTGTGCATCGCCGATCGCCAAATGTATTTTAACTGGCGGATTTTAATATTAGCTTCAGAAAAAAATGACACTGGTATTTACAAAGTAAAAGGAGTCTAAATGGCCCATTTCAGCCAGAGTAAACACATTAAGCCATGAGGTCAGCGGCTGCCACACTAGAGGCGGGTTGGTTTGATAATTTTGTCAAAATGTTTAATGTCCTGCTAAACCGTTTGGGAAAAACAAGTGCGGTGCTGATATTGACGTTGGCAGCGGCCTGTATACTCAAGGCTTTAAACATGTAAATCAAATGCTCCATCTTCAGGCAAAATGTGAGTAGACGTTTCATGGCCGGCTGGTTGTACTGCAGCTCTCCTGCCACAACTTTCCTTTTACCCCTCTAACCCCACCCTCCGTCCACACTGCGCCATGAACGGATACGGCCCCACAGTGTGCGCGAGTGTGTGTGTGTGTGTGTGTGTGTGTGTGCATTTGGGACTTGCTTTTAGGTCAGACATCTTGATTTGATGAAACCCGTAAATTGGGCAAACTGCGGCGATTTTAACGCATTGTCATCACGTCACGAGTATGGAGGCGTGCAAAGTTGGGGAAGGAACGCGGGAGATTACTTATACGGCACAATAGGCCCTCCGGTTGCATAACTCACACACAAGAGTGTTCAGATGTTCCTCATCAAGCCCCCCGGAGGCACGGACACCGCGTCTCACATGCAATAATGTAACTCTTGCCAGTGCAACCGCCGTAACGGCATGTGTTTCCTGGGTAAACCTTTGTGTGAGCCTGAACGCCATCGGACCTCGTTCTGCATATACGGCAGCGTACGAGTGCATATATATATATACACACGGGCGGACCGCAGGGTTTAAAGAAAGCATGTTTACGCAACACGAGAGCTTTTGTAACGCAGCGTTTATGATGCTCGATTCCATCCACTCTTTCTCAATGTTATTGCACCGTAAAAGACTGTTTTCCCTTTACCGCCTCCCTGCTTTTCGGCACACTGTTCGGTAACAGCACGCACTGTGCCTTCTGGCGACGCGCGGCCTCGGTGACTCCGCTCCGCCGGGCCCTCGGGGGAAATCATCGGCATTAATCCGAAACATGCTGGGAGACTCACACGCGAAGGGACGCGAGGAGAAGACTTGTCCCCTTTTAAGTGTCCTTTGACCACTCGCTCCTGGATCGCTGTCTGGTATCAAATGTAAGAGGCAGCTTTGAAAAAAGTGTGTTTTAGTGCAAAGATTAATGTGCTGTTGTCACAGTCAATTCATTGTTTCATGAAGTTTTCAAGAAATTTAAAACAGGACTGACTGGAAACTTGTTTTCTTATTTGACAAAGATGTGGTGCTTGTAAAATAATTCTAAGTTTACTTGGGTTTTATTGCTTTCCCTTTAAAAGTATCCCCAGTTGAACTTATTTTCAATTGTTTAAAAAAATCTTTTAGGATGGCAAAAAATATAACGCAGTGTTAAATGACGCTATGGTAAACAAATACCAAATAATGTGTTGATGGATGTCATTTGACCAATGATCCTGTGACTCAGTAAAACCCCGTCCAGCCAAAAGTGGTTTGGTCGTCACACCGATGCTCTCTCCCGATGTGTCGCGCTGACCCCGCGCTGACCAGCGCGGCGCCTCGTCCCACGAGGACGTCGTGGAGTTGAGCTGGTTTTCCAGTCGGACGGCAAATGGGTTCGTCAGTAGAGGACCGAGAGGATAAACATCATATGATCTAAGGGGGTTCGCTCTGTGGATCTGCTTCATTCAGGGAGGAACGGATGAAAACCAACAGCAGAGGCTCATTGCCAGGGATTCAAGTTGTTTTTATAATTACACAAATACGTCACTAAATGTGACTGGTTTGTCGAGGGATACAGATTAGCATCTCGATCTCCCATCGAGTTTTTTTTTTTGCTCATTTCAGCTTGAAGAGTTTAGCCTGCCAGGTCACATGACTTTAACCCACGCATTTTAGTTTGGCCAATAGGAATAATGAAACTATACCTTTTTCCAATTAATAATTGGGAAATGTACACTAGTACTAGATTTAACTTTTTCACCCCCCGTCCACAGTGACAAAGTACGACGCCTCTCGCCATCCTCACCCGTCTCTTGCGCCGTCCATGGCGGCCAGCGGCGACAGGTGATGAGGGCTGCCGAGCTCCCGGTCCAGTCGGTGCTGTCGGGAGGGCAGGTCGCCGGGGGGCACGGGGGTGGGGTTGGGGGTGGAGGAGAGGAGCTCCACCGAGGCGCTGTGGTGGGGGGTGCCCGAGCCGGCGTACAGGCCTGAAAGACAAACACAGCTAATTCAGTAAATGGGCCAAACAAACCCGGCGCTCCGTCTGCCCTTTGAGCAAATTAAAAGCCATTTCATGGCAACGGGGTCGTGTTTTGACAACATCCATCCAGCCCGAGAGCTTTGTAAAATGTTTGCACTGTTTTTACATTGTTTGCGCTGCCACGGGGATCGGGCTTGTTTGTCCTTTCAGCCAGTTTGTTCTCATTAAACAATAATAAACTAAAATGTTACAGGTGTTTGAATGTTGACTTTGAATAGAGGGGATCTAGAAGGTGGAACATGGTTACTGTGCATAGTCTGTATTGTGTGTCTGTGTCAATCATAGTTACGTTATGTTTGTTAGTACATGCAGGTGTACATGTCATGTATTCCTGCATGTGCACGTCTGCGTGTAGATGTATTTTATGATTAATATTTTGTTTACACAGGGACTAAGAACCCAAAGCCTTGCTCATAAAAAACATTTATATAGACGGGGTTCATGCTTTTTTTATGTGGCTGCGTGTTGCCAACTTTTCTAACATTTCAAGCTGCAGAGTCCAATTTAACACAGATTATTTTCCCATTTAAGATGCACTGCAAACTACAGTTGCTATAAATAATTACCACATTATAGATCTGGGATATTTTTGTTTGACCAAAAACCTAAAAGTAGTCACTTTGCAGACATGAAATGGGGGAAAAAAAGAGTGTGTATCTTTGCATTTGGGAAACAGACATTTGTGGCCGAGTAAAGATTTCCTGAAATCTGTGTCAATTTGTCAGCACATATCAATCAACAAATACGCTGAAGAAACATCTGACATTTCCATCAGTGCCCTCCAAAGGTTTTCACGGGTTTAATCTGTTGTTCCACGTTTCTCTGGAGAAAGACGAGCAACAAATCACACCGAAAATACAGAACCGGAAACCAGAAAGAATCTCCGCTACAATAAATCTACTCTCTCCATCTTCTGCTCCGTTTCTCATGTGATTTCTTTCCCGGCGTGCAGGAGGAGAGCGACGCGCTGGCTGCGACGAGCGGGGACGCCGGGAGGAGATGAAAGGGAGGAGGAAGAAAAGGTCGGTGCTCCTGCTTTTGCCGTTTCCAGGCCCAGCTGTTCTCAAGTGGAAGCATGCAGGGGCCCGATCTGACAGCACTCCGAAATGGTTACAAGCTTGATTCATTACCCCCAAATCATCAATCACAAAGCTTAAATGTTTTACCCTTTAGCCCCAACATCTGCCACCACGGCGGCAAAAACAGTCGACAAATAATGGCCGTGATTGCCTCAATTTCATCCCAGGTTCCTTGTGGAAGGAGAGTGCGAGGATCTGGTGGTGCTGATTGGTGGACGGAGGATTACGTTGGGAAGATGATGTGCTTTGGCTCTGAAAGGAAGAACGCTCTGCCTGGGAGGGACGTGGAGAGGGGTTTCAGCCATCCGGCGTAAATAGCAGGAGCATTTCAACTTCTGCATTAAAACTAGGCTACATTCTGGCTCTGGGTAATCAGCGAACACTAATTACGCTCTATAAAACAGAGAGGGGCTCCTCGTAAGTCTGCCGCCGTGTGAATGGGAGCAGACGTACAACCGGCAAACAGGAAAGCGAGTTCATCTCTGACTGGAAGCGTGACTCATTTTCTGCCTCACAAGTGTTAATGAGGGGGTCGCTGCCCACTTTGCTCCACCTCCTCCGCGCCTCCCATTGCCCCCCCCCCCCCCGGAAACAAAGCAAAGCGCAAAAAAATGGCCGCGGGTCTCGAGTGACACTCGCATCACTGGACGGCTTTGCCGTCGTCTCTCGAGTCGTCTCCTTCGGGCCTTTGAAGCGTCTAAAACGGGCGGCATCCACTCACGAGCCGAGGGAGGCGGAGGTGGAAGGAGGAGGGGGAGGGGGGGAGACCCGAGGCCCGGTTGGACATCCAAAGGCGAGTTGAGCCTACACAGTTGTCAACGGTTCGCTAAGTTTCCAGCAACAATAACAAAAGAGCAACGGGGAGACGTGATGGAGTACAGGCAGAAAAAACAAGGACAGATGTGTCCATAAAAATGAAAAAAAAAAGAGGGGGAGCTGCGGGGAACCTCTCTCTTGTCTTTACGACGGTTTGAATCCATTTATCTCTCTCTCGTTCCCAAGCAGTGTTGACATTTGGTGACGGTCAAATTCATCAATTAGAAAGCCGGGAGTTTAAGGCCCACATGTGGTGGATAAAAGTTTCCGTTTGTAATGGATTTTGCAGCACACGCAGGAGAAGCTTCACATGATATGGTTAGGAAATACAAGCCAAACAAACAAAAGTGCCAGGCTGTAAGACTTCTAAATCTAAACTTAAGTAAACAAGTGGAGTTGATATAAAAGCTGTATAGGCATTTAAATATAAATTATGGTGGAATGATTTGTTTGCGTTTGTCCTAAGGCGCCATAAGTACGTTTTTTACAGCCCGATAGCACAAATTTACCATCGTGCATCCACAGGAATGTTGAACATGGCGGCCGATGACCACCAGTGACTCGGTGATTGCTTTGCCGGGTGTCTGGGCTTCTGGCGCTCTCGCCGGCCTGTTCTTCCGTTTCGGGAACAAATGTTCCCTGGCCGTCGATGTTGTGAGACGCGGCCAGTCTCTCGCGCTCACGTTTTCAATTGCTCAAGAACAGTTAATCGCGCGGCTTCTGGTATCATGTGACGTGCCAAAAAGGAAATGATAAAAGATGTAGCACACATTGAAATCATTATGGCATGAGGAATTCATGCCATAATTGGAATATATTCTAAAACCTTTTTGTGAATGGAGGTTGCCACTTCTAATCAATGTGGTTTAAACTACAGCCTGAATTATAAAAAATATTGATTTGATGCGTATGATATAAATGTATTAGAATGGACAGTGTACCATCGTAACCAAAAGGTTGTTAGTGCACTGAGAGAGAGAGAGAGAGAGAGAGAGAGAGAGAGAGAGACTAGACTTTGATGATCACTGAACGCCTTCATAAGAGGTTACGTAATCATGGTGTTGGATGCAGCATCCCGTCTGTGCACCTGTGAAGATGTCCTGGCCCAGTCCGGAGGAGCGGCCGTCTTTCATTCCGTTGTAGCGGTGCTGCGCGGAGGTGGAGCTCTGCAGGTGCTGCATGGACAGACACTCACTCAGGACGTCCTGCTCCAGGTGGGGACATGGCCGAAGCTGTCAATCAAAAGCAGGACAATCGGAGAGAGAACAGAGAATGTTCACGGGAAAATGATGGTGAGTCACTCCATCTGGTTTGCAAGATTACACAAGGACGAAAACACAGCCTCAGTTGTGTCTATTTGTGGGCTGCACCCTACGTGGGGGGTGTTTTCTTGCTGTTTTGTGTTCTCTTTTAGGGCAATAACGTGATAGAAACGGTAATTCAAAACAGCAACTGTACAAATTAAAATACATATTCAGTCAGGGGGAACCGCAGGGAAGATCACACACTCCTTTTTGAGTCATGCGTTGGCCTTGGACGTTGTGGGCAAGCGATCGATGTACCAACTCGGGGCCAATGCGAGATCGCTCCCGTTTCTCCCACTGCCAACAGTAATGGGGGCAACTGAAGACACATTTCAGCTGCCGGGTTGCTCACACGCAACGCAGAAGAGACCTGAACCCAAGGACACTTGTGTCAGTTGGAGAAATGGAACATCTGCCTCTCGGATCAGTGGAACAGCTGACCTCTGTTGTATACATCAGCAGATGTCTCTGTAATGAAACATTACGGTTGCCGGGCAACACGACAGGCCGGAACTAACAGCCGCATCTTTCCTTCGCTTTGGGAGATTTACCTTCAAAGAAAGAAAGAACCTGCACATTCCACCCGCGGACTGATGCTGATCATCGGCAGCAGGCAGAAATGACACCACATCGATGAGACATCAACTCTGCACTGGGTTCTTTGGTTGTTATGAAAAAAAATGCGCATTTAAACTAACTCACCAACCACCATTGTAATCAAAATCCACCCAGTTTATATCACCGTTTATCATTCGGACATTGATTAAGTAACATCGGATCTTTTTCGGACATAATCAGTTCACTCTTTCGTTTTTCAATTGAAAGGATTCAACGGCAGCTGCATCATTTAATTTATAATGCTTTATTCAAAAAGAAAATAATAACTCCTAATTTGATGCGCAACTGTCCACTGCAACACTAATGTTAAACCTAAAACGGTCGGCTTCAGAACAACTGGCTCCTAATCAATTGCATCCAACATACTAAGGAGATCAAAACGTAAACCCATTGTAAAATCAACTACTTGTTCCTGTCACCATGATGTGACATTAACCATGCTGAGTAACACACCCGTTTTGTACAATAGTGTAATAACACAAGTGTATAAAAGAAATCGCCCCAGTTACAGATGAAGAGGTTGGTGTTTGTTCACCACCTGTTTCTCTGTGTCGGCCCGTCAGTCCTCCCGACCGCAATGCCGGCCTTTGTCATCTCGCAGAAAGACGTTCCACACTTTATATTTTGTGGTTGGAAACATTCTTTGGCATTATCGCAACAACCTTCTCTTCTCTCTCTGACCGTCCCCACCGAGGACGGATAACGGCGTTATCTCTGCGTCACTTAAATCTTTTAAGCCCCTCCGCCTCACAGATGATTCACTGGTTCAGCTTGCATCATCCACGTGGTGATTTCACAGTTGCGTCGGGTGATTCAGTGAACGTGTATGTTTTTGTTCTCCCGGGGACCGTTACGAGGGGGGTGCAAAGCTTTCCTCACGCGTAATTGAGGCCTGTTCCCCACACGGCGACACTCCTAACACTTTCTCCGGGCCGCTCCAAGAGCGGAGCGAGAGCGTTTGTTTGACATTTGTCCATAACATCTGGCCGCTGGGGTATTCCGCGGCCCAGCTTATTAACAATGCTACGAGCACACATGTGTTTCCCTTTACAGCGGCTGAGCAGAGAAACGCATCATCCAGACCGCCACTATCCAGCCTCTTCCACAACAATGAGCCCTTTCTCCGTTGTTTACCCGCTTCCACTCGGGGAAAGAACGGGCTTCTGACCACCAACACGACACAAATGTGCTCAAACCTGATCTATTGTCTATTGTTGGGGAAACGGTTACCCCCCGTTTGTGAGACCTGTAGCACTACCGTCCTGACGGATGCAGGAGCTCTTGAGCAAGGCACTGCAGAGATCTACCCCTCATGATACACCAACATGTATATGCATTACTTCAAAATGTAACTTAATACTGTTCCTATAAATGTAATACTATCAAGTGTTGATTCAGATACACATTATTTATCTCTCAGTTGGTTTTATGTGAAAAAAGTCAACGTCGAGTTACATATTTCTCGCGGCGGTTTCTCTCGAGGTCACTTTTCTGATTCCATCACTTTCCTGTCGGAGGTTCCTTACCTTTCTACGCACCTGTTGCTCTTTGGCCGAGTGGATCTTGACATGTTTGCGCAGCGAGCTGGGGTCCGTGTAGCGCTTGGTGCAGCCGGGGATCTGACAGGCGTACGGCTTCTACGAGCAGAGAGAGAAAAAAACAAAAACATACTTCACATACCCGGGTGAAGTTTGCAATTCATTTAAATAAACATTGTCATTGGGAGACACGAGGAAAGAAGGTGGGCGGGTATTTAAAGAAGACGTGACGGAAATCGAGTGTGACGGCAGCCGCGGGGGGGTTTGTGGGGGGGTTACATGGCGGGAAAACTAGTGTAATCGTTGTTTTATGTCAAACGGGAATGTCCATAAATGACTTGTTTTGAAAACTAACTTCATTGTCCTGTTCGTGTCAGTCAAATCAGCACCGATGCGTCCGGCTTCTTCCATCACATCACCGCTGTTTGTGACTGATGAACCGGGGGGAAAACTAAGCTCACCACGTTGCTCAGGGCGACATTAACGTACGTGATGTGTACCGAGGACAAAGTTCTCCAGAGCTCCCGTCGGCTCTTCTCCCGGCAAAGTAAAGGGAGGCGAATCAAAGGAGTGCTCCAAAGCAACACCCCCCCGCGGCTGCAATCAGCCTCTGAGAATGGGGGATTTAGGGTGTGAGTGGGCAAAATGTATACACAGGAAGTGGGAAATCTGTTGATGTAAAGGCAAAGTTCAGGTCCTACCTTTCAGCTGAGAATGACAGAATTGGAAGTAAGTAGGGGGGAAAAAGGCATGAAAAAGAAAGAAAAGATGCATTATAAAATGATCAATACCGACTGATCTCCCTGTAATGTTTCCTTTATTTAAATCCAGGCCTTTGAAGTGTTCCCTTGCTGTTGCATGTATGCATATAGGTCTATGATATTTTTAGGTGTAGTAACAAACCCCCTCTCTCGAGACATCAAAAGGGCATGATTAACAATATGTAACTTGACAATATGTGTGTAAAACATTCAGTTAATATAAATGTTACACAAATAAGGAAATATGTTTGATTATGGACCAATTTGGAGTACCTCTATTCACAGTGACATACAGACTTGCTGTAAGCTGGGACACGACATCTCGAAAACTCACCACTTGACTTTCTTCTCATTAAACCAAGTAAATACAGCATGCATTAAAAAATATATTTTCCCTCACTGAAATTTTTGTTTCATCATCAGGAAAATAAGATGGCTATTAAAGTGTAAGGGGACACCAGTCTTTATTTTTGCTCTGCTTCCATACCTCACCCTTAAATAAGCCTTTGTTATTGCAGAGCGCCAACAGTGCCAGGCACCTCCATGCGGCGCGGAACGTCAAATTTTACACTTCTGCGTAAAATAAATACCGTTAAAGATTAAAAATGATTTACTCTCAGAGTGTTTCTGGCCGGGCGGGCAGCCGGGCAGGCACTTTGAATACCACGGCGGGGTGTTAATATGAAGCTATAAGCATCGCCGTCCCAGATTAGCTGTATCACTTGCCCTATTTTGGAAAGACCGGCTGCTGAGGAAAAATCTCAAAATGATAGAATAACACAAGTCTGGGTTCAACGTACTGCTTAAGTAAAGGTTCGGAGTGATTTATTGTAACGTGTACCAAAAGAACGGGCGGCTGGCCAACCCAGGAAGGAACACAGGGGGAAGATATTCTGGAAAAATATTAAGAAAGAAAATAAACATCTCTTTCAATTAATGTTTTGCAGAAAGCGGGGAATTTGAGCATTGACTGAATAAAAAAAAAAATCATTCACACTGTTTGCCTTCAGCTCTCTTTCTACTCGCTCAGCATCACTGAACTTTTATTCTATTTGGAGTTGAAGAATTGTTTGGAGACCTTTGGTCCGTCACCGAAGTGTAAATATGGAATAAAACCCGAGGTGCTCGGCTTGTAAAGCTCTGAGAAAAATAAACGTTAAAGTGCTATATGACAATAAAAGTGTATCGACCTATTGAGTTTATGAGAGACTAGTCCCCATCGCTGATGTCCAGGGCTCCTGAGACTATTTACAACTAAGAATGAATCATCTAAAACATTTAACATTTTGATGTTAAACAGTTTCACATTGAAACATTGAGGTGAAACAGTCAAATACCTCAATCTCTAAAGAATTTCAGCAACACGTACCCGCTAACTGTGCTGGTATCAAAGTGGGGTATTTGCGAGGTTACCGAGACGCGACGAGCGGCAGCCACGTCTGACTCAACCTTTCCCTCCGCGCGCGGGGTCGGAGAAAACAGGCGATGCTCTGTGTGATCTCGAGCCGATCGCTTAACGCGTGAGAGCGCCACGCCGCAGGTGGAGGATGGCGTGAGCACCCACCCTCTCAGTGGGCTGGGTAGAAAGTGGATGAAGCTGGTATCCAAACACACGCAAACATTTACAGAGCATCATCTCACGAAGCCACGCCTTCCGCAACGCGGCGACCACGCAGACCATTTCAACATGTCGGCCGTGGATCGACTCTGGCGAAAGAATCGGGAGGTGGAGGCCCGGCTTCAGCTTCTCACCGTGTCCAGGTGAGTCCGCTGGTGCTTGGCGCGGTCGCTGGAGTTGCTGAAGGCCTTCTGGCAGCCGGGGTGCTGGCACAGGTACGGCTTCTCTCCCGTGTGGCTCCTCAGGTGGATCTTCAGGTTCTCCAGGCGGGAGAACGCTTTGTTACAGCCCTCGAACTGCGGGGAAAAAGGGAAAGACGGCTGTCACGGCAGGCTGTCACGGCATATATATGTGCACCCACATGCACATATATATATATATATATACGCGAATCAATCAGTGCAAAACCGGCACATCCCTGTATGCCTCTGTGAGTGTGCACTTGTGTGAATCACAGCTGTCCCACTCCTTCCCAGAGTCCCTGAATCACTCGCACAGCTGGAGGAGTTGGCTACACCACGTATTCATCGCCAGCCGTGGAAAAGTGAGGGATGCTTATGAACATGGGTGGTGTAATTGCGAGCATCGTTTCCCCCTCTGCCCCCCCGTGCTCTTGAATTACGCAGCCAATCCAGGGACCTCGGTTTGGAACCACGTCCACTTGAAGGACGGCGGCGTTGCGTGACAGCACACCTGCCTCGGGACGGCGGGGGGAAACCGGAGTGTGCCGTGCGGCGGCGGTTAATGGGCTGTAATGCATAGCGCGGGATAAGTGTTCTGCTGTGTATAGGGCAATAGACTGACAAGTGACAGCGGCTGTAAACAGGCTCGTATCCGACCCAGCTCGGCCCATTTGATCCAAACCACTCAGCCAATGAACACCACAGATTTGTTAACATGTGCATGATTCATGAGGCGTCTCGCGTAACCACTCCTGCTCTTGAGTAGAAAACGAGGCTGATCGGCTGATGAGGCGGTCAATGTCAAGACCCCCCACAGGGGCTGCTGGGTAAAGAGTCACGGATTGTGTATTGTAATATAGGAAGTATAGCTCAGTGTTACTTATATCTACGTAGGGTTAAACTCCTTCAGGTATTCAGCCGCTGCAGGACATCCACACGCTGGTACTGTCACAGAGCACAATAGGAGCCGGTGAAGAGCTCAGGTTAGCGTCCCTCTTCTTTACCTTCAGATGCATGTCTTGTAGGACTGTACATCAGCACAGGTGGATGCCTTAAAGTGGAGACAAAAGGGTGCAGAGGCCAAAGGCAGCGTCGGAGAGGAGGCGGCGCCGCGAGGAGTAATGGATGCGTAAACCGGGGAAACAGACAAAGGAGATCAATGACAAATTTAAAAAGAACCGACGCAGCAGAAAGACATTCGGTCTGATAAAAAACAGCATGCAATTACTCAGACTTTATTTAACACTTAAGTTTCCCCTCAAATGTAAATATGACAATATCTTCAAAAATTGCAATTCCTTGCAAAAGGGCGAATGCAACTTCGTACAGGAAGCTTTTGTGGCGCCATCGCGGCCTCCACCTTCCATTGTAGCCTGACCTTTAGTGAAGCCCGCTGACGACAGGTCGGGTTACGGCTAAGGAGAGAGTGACACCATCCCTCTAATGGGCCTTCAGCTTCACCTCGGCTCAATACTCATCCGTGGTCTCCTTCAATCACGCAGGCGGGGCCTTCTATTCACAGAGGCTCCATTTAATAAAGGCGAAACCTAAGCCAGTCATGGTAGAGGCGTGTTGGGTGACCGGGCTGATCTGTGGGTGCACGTGCTCCTGTGGGTCAGTTAGGGAGTCTTAATCTGCCCGTTTACGGCTACAAAACGCACATCTACTTTGTGAAACCATTTAGATGTTTCAAACTGAGCTGGAAGTTGAAAAAAACAACGGGGTGAGTACACATGCACCAAAAATATATGTAGTATAATTATTATTATATCGATTATTAAGTAATTTAGAACTGGTTCAATAAACAGCCTTATGTACAAGGGGAGATCTAAGTTAGAACCCGTGTGCCGTACAACAGAAGCTGAGAAGATAAATGTGTAAACGAAATATAACTGACTTCTCGTCCCGATGAGGCCCAGCACAGGACTCGAATGTGGAATAAAAACACTTAACCCCGGATTCATCAGCTCACGTCCCTGGAAAAAGCCGTCACGTCGCCCAGCGTTGCACGGCCGGAGACATATTATTTCTGAGTCCTGCCAATCAAATGCTTCGGATGGAAGCGGGAGACGCGGCGAGGGTGGGGAAGTTTAATGAAAGCCTCAGTGCGGAGGAACAAACGCGCTGCCGCGCCGGTCGTGACAGACGTGGTCTGCGCTGACGGCGCCGGGCATCTGGGTTTGGAAAACAAACACGGCTATTATTGACGTGCCAAGTTTGAAGGCTAAATTATAATTACTCGCCCCGTGGAGGAAACCGTGTTAATCGCGTAGAGCGTATTATTACTCTGGAAGCCGGAATGGCAGCCAGGCGGCCGAGTATGATGGTTTTCCTGCCACCCGTGGACATGGACGTTACCCAGAACCCCGTGCAGAAATGTAATGCTACAGTCCCATGTTCTAGCGTAGCCAATGTGTTAAAAGGACTTACTGTATTTCAATGAGTTCACGGACTGTGAAACCTACTTAGGTTTGAAAATCTGCTGTTGAATCCAGTATTGCTCTTCTATTAAAACTGTATTGATGTGGAAAGTTTGTGGTTTTCTTTTGGGAACCTATACATCCAATGTTATGGATACGATTCAAACTACATTAAACAAAGTCAAACTATATTGATGAAAACCTAAAAAACAAAGGCGTCAATGTGGTATATAAAGAGTCTGTAAACGCTGTAGAAATAAATCAACACATTACGGGTTAAAGTGGTATGAAGGCCGAGGCACAGGACGCGGCATTGATTTTGCCGTCGATATTATCTATGAAAACAGTTTAGACGGCGCTGATCACATTAATTGCTTTAAACATGTTTAGTTTTCCTCTCTCGCTCTCTCCCCCTCCTCCCCCCGTCTGAAGTAAACCGGCAGATCGCCGCGCGAGTGGAGCGCCACCGGCAGCGCGGAGAGACTTGAGCCCTGCTTGACGCCGTCTCACTCTTAAACTGGAGAGGGGGGGGGGGGGGGGAGGGAAGGGGCGCTTCAGTGGCTCGGTAAACATTTGGGATGACAGCGGGGTCTTGACGTGGCTGAAAGGGGGCGAGAGCGGGTTGAAAAGGTGGACGGGCAGCTGATCACAACGGACAGATTATGGGCCCCGGCGTGCAGGCCGGCGTGCCGGAGGCCTCCATGGGAAATGACTCCTGACTTGGCGGGGAGAGGGCCAAGCGGCTCGAGGGGCTAAAAGGCAGCAGTGTGTGGCTCTCTCTCCCCTCGCATGCGGCGGCTCATTAGCAACCGGCAGGAGCCGTGGAAACAAAAAGGGCCGTTATAGGAGGGCACGGCTACCGACATGGAGGGCAGCAGAGGTCCGATTAAGAGCATTAACGAATGGCATGTGGAGAGAAATGCGGTGACAGGAGGCAATCAGGGGTACGGTGGAGGTGCTTCACTTCACTTCACAAAAAATACCACTACGCTCGTTGCAGCCGAGGTCATCACCCGACAGGAGCCCTTTTATTTCCTCAAAAATAGGCACCAGAATTTTCTCATTGGCCGGTCGTCTTGTCTGGAGGTTGCTTTAGATGCCTCAACTGTAAAATATCTCAGTAATTGTACATCGGCCCACTGAGTAACGATGGCGCAATGGAATCCAGCTTCTTAAGACCATGACATTTACTATTACGCACACTCAGGTGGAAAAAAAGCCCTGCACCAGTGATCCACTGTGATTAGGTTTACCGATTATATCCAGGCTCCTTTACAGCCGGGCCGGGCCTGACAGACACCACGAAGGGCAAAGAGCATTAGTGGCGAAAGAAAACCCGGCCAAATAAAACAATATCAAGAAACAGCTTGTATAACTTTTATAAGTATAAAAAAAAGAGAGTTTGGGGAGGGGGGGGGAGTTGGTTTATCACAAGGTGTCTTTCTCCGCCCGGACCTGCGAGGGGAAAAACCACCAACACTTCAGGATCTGTCGGGAGGGGAGGCCGTGGAGCTGCGGATGGGAGGAACATGTGCGTTTAATCTGCCTGCTTGCAAATGCCCTGTGGCAACCACAGCAAAGAGCAGAACGACGTAAATGGGTGAAATTATATCCATATGATTCAACGAGACAGCTAAGGGGAGGCAGGTTTCTCGTGCGCTTCGTCAGGATACGAAATTAAACACAGGCCGGCTAAAACATTCGCATTACATAGTTTACACATATCATTTCCACGGCGGAGCGGGGACCCTTTTAGCAGCCAACCTCATCTGTTGCAAATAGGGCTTTAACTTCAATCAAAGATAGGACTTGTTTCTGTTGGGCAGCAGAGATATGAATTCACACACAATTGCCTCGTCATCGTCACCACGAATCATCGCTTATTTCCTGCACTTTTGTCAGATTTTTTTTAGGAGGCCTTGATTTATGAACGGAGAGACACAGGTACACACACACACACACACACACACACACACACACACAGAGAGAGTGTTGTCCAGATGTGCACAAACAGGCCGGCGGAGCAAGAGCCGATGAATTGGTGGGAGGAAGTAGTCATGTAAATGACTAAAGAAATTGTTCTAAACAGCCATTTTGCACCCATGCCTGAATAGTTTGGGGGGTGGGATTCAAAACTACGTGGATGGCACAACAGGAAGCATTGGTATGATGACTAAATGAGGCCGCTTACATAATTAGCCTGCCCAGCAGTTTTGTCCCTCTCACAGAGAGTGTTTGCTGGAGATTGAAGAGGAAGTGCAGTGATGGAGTTGAACCCTTGTTCCTGCGGTGGGGAGATGGGGGGGAGGGGGGGGGGGGGAGAGTGAGAGCCGGGGCTGCACAACAACACGGCGCGGCTTCATGGAAGCACTTAACCTGCTGTGATTCACAAATGTCTACCAGCATCAGATTAGAGAGGCCCCCATGCGATTTCCTGTGAAAGCCGGGCGGCCCGGGGTTTGCCGGTTCACCAGGTGGAGGGATGAGGATGGGGGGGTTTGGGAGGAGGGAGGGAGCGGGGGGGGGGGATCTCTGTCAAAGAGGTGAAGGCAGGCCGAAGAGGAAGAGCATATATCTGGTGTGCCATCATGCAGCGTTACTCAGCTGAACTTCCAGCTCCCGGCTTCCTCCGTTTGACCCGACGTATTACCTTCTCCTTCCGCTGAACACAGGGTCATAGGTCCTTACCGACGC